AAGTGATCAGCCTCCTTTCCTGCTGCTCTTCTAAAAGATGATTCTGTATCCCAGGTTCGGCAAACGGCATAACTCCCTAGCTTGCATTTGTCCAGCCCCGACTTCGGCTCGAGGAGAGCCAGGAATGAACGGCCACGTACCTTAGATTCCGTCTCGGCTACGCGTAGGATCCCAGAGGCAGCCATTTAGAGTTGCGGTAGCTTCCAGGATCAAAATACTACAGGCTGAAGTTCACGATTCAACCGGCTCCAGCCATATGAAATGAGGAGGAACGTGTAAGTTCCACCGGCCGGGGACAGATGCCGTCCCACCACCTCAGCTCAACGTGCATGAACCCCCTCATCCCATCCGCCACACTGAGACAACACACCAAGCTTTTCCTTGTAGACGAGGAAGGCGTGCGCTAAGCGCCCCAAGCTCCAAGCTGGGAACGCCACGCTCATATCCTCTTCTATGGTCTCACCTCAGCCGCAGAGGCCCAGCCCCACGGCACCCTCACCTAGCGTGACAACTACCTGGAGCCTGGAACGCAGCGTGTGAGCACTGTCATGCCGCAGGAACATCTGCCGCTTCACCTCTAGAATGCTCTGGCCTGTTAGTGTCGTGCTCCCATTCCCCTTGCTGGGTCGCGTGGCGATCCAGCGTGGTGGTTCGCTTAGTTAGTGCGGGAGCCCAGCGGCAGCTCTAGTGCCGAAGATGGCGCAGATTAGGGAAGCTTGATTCTCCGTATCCTTACGAGATAGGTACTGCTCTGGATTCGACCAACCGCTTGGAATTAGGCTTGTCAGCTTATAGCTTTGTTCCACAGTCCTGTCCCAATGGTGATGTTAGCTTCAGACAGCCACTTTCAGCCCTCATCGCGCCGTTGGCGCCGCTAAACCCCAAGTCCTCACTTTTGCCGGGCAGGGCTGACTGTCTAAACTCAGTTGGGCCTGTCTGGTAAACAATCTCCATGGTAGAGTTCAGGAGATCAGCGATGCCCAAACTCTCCCGGCTGGTCGGGGGATACGCCGCTCCCGCCGTGTTCCCCGTTGGAGATTATCTGGTGGCGCGTGGCACGCTGCTATCACGCTAGTGCTCGTAACTTAAATGGCAATCGTCTCCCTTCCCCTCAGTTCCTTTGTCGATCTTGATAATTCTCATCTTTTCCAAGTCGTGGATCGCATCGCCAGATATCATGGCGCCCACAATCGATACCCTGATCATCGGCGCCGGTCCCAGCGGACTCTGCGCCGCAAAGACACTCCTTCAACATGACCCGGCCGCCGATATACTCATCCTCGACGGCCGCGCCTCGGTCGGCGGTGTCTGGTCGAAAGAACAGATCTATCCAAACCTGAAGACGAACAACCTTGTCTCGGCGATCGACTTCTCAGACTTTCCCATGGACCCCGAGCGCTTCGGGGTCAAAATCGGCGAGCATGTTCCTGGAAAGGTCATGCATGAGTACCTCGTCGCATACGCAAAGCACTTTGGCGTCTGGGACAAGATCCAGTTGAACACAAAGGTCGTACGGGTGACTCGCCCAGAAGATGAAGGACAATGGAATGTCGACGTTGAGGAAAACGGCGAAGCAAAGACCGTGACTTGCACACGCCTCATCGTTGCAACAGGCGTCCTCACCGTACCACACATGCCCGACATCACCGGCTCCGAAGATTTCAACGCCCCCATCATCCACTCCTCCGATCTTGGCCCCAAAGCAAACCTTTTCTCCTCTCCCGACATCACCACCGTCGCAGTCTTGGGCGGAAGCAAGTCTGCCTACGACGCCGTCCACCTGGCTGCATCGACAGGCCACAAGGTCCGCTGGCTCATTCGACGTTCCGGCCGCGGACCTGTGTGGGTTGCACCGGCGTTCACGCAGCTCGGGCCGTTCAAGGTCTGGCGCGAACGGCTTGTTACTAGGAGAATCTGCGCGTTCATGTCGCCGTGCGTGTTCCCTGATTTCTCGGGTCTCGCATGGGTGAGACGGTTCCTGCATGAGAGCGCTGTCGGTCGGGTGCTTAGCAAGACGTTTTGGAAGTTGATTCGTCACGACACGATCAATGACTGCGGCTACCAGACGGACGAGAAGACGAAGGTGCTGCAGCCGGAGCAGAACATGTTCTGGTAAGCTCAGTTTCTTCACTATGGTTGTCCATAGCCTGGGAACTAACCCCATTCTTTCCACAGGTACGGCACTGCTTCTGGTATCCTCAGCTTCGATGACGATTTCTTCGAGTATGTGCGCAACGGCACAGTCCAAATCTACCGCGAAGACATTGACCACCTATCCGACCAAAACATCCACTTCACCGACGGCTCAAGTATCTCCGCCGACCTTTTGATCACATCAACCGGCTTCTCAGCAAAGCCAACCATCAACTTCGAACCTGCATCTCTCCATTCCGATCTCGGCATCCCCTCCACATCTCTAGGACCTAAACAAGAAGCATTCTGGAACGACGCAAACGCAAAGGCAGACGCCTCCATCGGCGCACGCTTCCCACGCCTCCTTGACGGCCCCTTTCAAAGCCCCACATCCTCAAAGACAAAGTCCTTCAACCCCGGCGCGTCAGCAGAGGTCTCCTACACCCCCTGGCGCCTCTACCGCGGCATCGCCCCTCCAGGCCTTGCCGCGCGCGACGACCGGTCTCTCGTCTTCCTCGGCGCCTTCAGCAACCTCGCCAACATCATGCGCCTCGAGGTGCAGTGCCTCTGGATGCTGGCGTATTTCGAAAACGGGATCCCCAACTTTGACGTCGACCGCCGCGCGGGCCGCGTCTTTGAGGAGACGGCGTTGTTCCAGCGGTGGGCGCAGCACCGGGCGCCGTACGGGCACGGTCGGTGTTATCCGGATCTGGTCTTCGATCAGTTGCCGTATTGGGATATGTTGCTCGGCGATGTCGGGGTGGAGACGGCGCGGAAGGACGGCATGTGGGCCGAGTTGTTTGAAAGCTACACGCCGATGGATTACCGGGGCATGGTGCAGGATTGGATTGACCAGAACCGATAGACGTCTACTAGACCCTGCAACGACAATGATACCCGCAGGTCTAATGATCAATGAACATGCATTAGTAAGAGATTTGATACGTTGGTTTAGTCTTTGTGTCCCGAAGCCCGCTGGGGTTATCCGTTATGGTTTCATCTGTCAATTTGCTTGCTTGCTGTGATATGAGCCAAGCCCAACTTCAATCTATAGATCATCAACATGCTTACTAAGAGGAAACATGACAATGATTCCTGCCGCCCGAGCTGGCCCTGGAGTAACATAAAGGCCATTTTCGGTTCAGCCGCGCTCTGTTACAGCAACATGTGTCAAAGATCCAGGACAGGGACCTGTCCCAGATGGTGGTGGTATTCTTCGATTCTGAAAGTCATTACGGGACTGCCGGGAAACGATACGCTAGCAATTAGACTTTCACCATGTGATGAACCTTGGCCTGCCTTATCTCTCTCACATGTAGAATCGCTCATGCTGAACCCAGCTTACCCAAACACCTTACTGTTGCAAATGGAAATCTGGCGAACGTCATGACTTCTGCTACTTCAAAGTACCGAAAGGGAGTTCAGCCAATGGGAGCAGGAAGTCAGTAGCCTACCGGGAGCATTCAATCAACACAATGTGTCTCGAAAGTATGGGGTATGCCGGGACTCTGATTGGCACAATCCTACAATAGCAGGTTTTGCGATTAGTTGCCAAACCATCGTTCAACTTTATCCCCTCACTACCAGAAAGAAGGTTCAAGGCTATCGGCAACCATCTGCATGTGATATCCGACTCCAAATCCCTAGCACAGGTTTTAACATCAAGTATAAGAAGACCTCAGGTGTTCTAAACGTCACCTAGCACGGTTCGTGTGACAAGGTGGAAGGAGTTGAGGTTGTGGAAGTTAACTGGAGAAAATAGTGTGAATATGGATTACTTTGAAGACAAGAAAGATCAGGGTAAGACACCGCAAGCTCCGGCCCTCATTTACCAGAAACATTAACAACCGCCGGTACTAGTTGAGGCGGATCTCGACGATGTCCGGCAGTTCGAGTCGTTCACCTCCCTTCTCGAAGACGACGGTGTCAAGCAGGGGAACATGCCTGGCATTCACCCCGAGCCCGCTCAGCTCATGAAGTTCAACGTTGATGCGCCGCTCGCCGAAGAAATCTCCCCAGGACTACTCAGCGGCAATTCGGTCGGTTCACAGGAGAGCTACAGCGTCACCAGCGTATCCACCGCCCTTTAGAGCGAACGCTTGGGACACAGCCAGCATCCCCTAGTTGAATTTGTTCCGAATTATCTGAGAGAGACTGCCAATGTAGACACATCAGAACATTCGTTTGTCCGAAAGATACCCCCGAAGGGTTTGGTCGACTTCCCCATAGTCGAGGAAGAGGACGAAACCAAGCCGACAAAGTATGATGAGATAGAGATACCCATAAGGAGCGACGAGAACTCATGGTGCGGGCTCTACTTCTGCACATGGTCTGGGTGTGACAAATCGTTTCCCACACCTAGCGATAGAAGGTAAACTCCGCTAGCGACACTGCATACATATCACCCAGATTAACTGAGGAGTTCAATAGGAAGCATTTCAGGACCCACTGCAGGCCTGTGATCTGTCCAGTGTGCCCAAAGCGGATGCCGTGGCAAAGGGATATGCGGAAGCATCATGGCACTCACTTTAAGCGACCGCGTTACCAGTGCCGATGTGAGAAGTCTTACACCAAGATGGATAACCTGAATAAGCACATCAAGAAGTCCAAGACGGCATCGCAGCAGATTGTAGGGTCGAAACCCATACGGTCGAAGCTTTGAGCATGCACTTTGGTTTTTCAACAGGCTCTGGGTGTTGCGAGACTTTTCTTTTGATTTGAAGCTGGAAACCAAAAAAGAAAAAAAACAAGGAAAAAACTTGAAAATTCAAACATGTAAAAAAATCAACACAGACAATAAGTGCGGAAGAGATGTAGCAGAAATGAAAACACACTCGTTTGGCGTCAAATTTCTAGTCCCTGCTACATCAAAGCTGAGCACCGCCGCCATCATCATCTTCGCCTTCATTATCTTGGACCGTACTACCGTTCTCGAAACTGTCAATGTCCCCAGATCCATGTTCCATCTGAACCACCCCTTGGGACTCGGTTGATAGATCCAGTAGTTCGATAGCGCTGTCCAAGCTGAAAACTATTGAGGAAGCAACGTATCATGTCAGCCGATCGGACTCTTGCTTTGCATCGCATAGAATACCCAGGGCGCTTACCTTCACTAGATGGACCGGCGTCACTATCATCTGCTTCCTCCGTCTCCGAGCCTGAATCTCTCACATCAACCAAAGACGACGCAGTGATCTCAGTCAGCGAGTCCGGATGTTGCACCGTAGCCGCATGCAACTCTCCCAACCTGGCAATCACCATACCCTTCAAGTCCCCAATAACATCGTTGATGATCTTCCGCTGATTGATCCAGCCAGGGTTCTGCTTTCCGCCCACCAAATTCACAATTCCCCAACTTGGGTACACTTTCTGATGGGCGTCAAGCAGAGTGATCCTAGCGGGATGGTGACGAGCATAAGACTCGCAGCCGACGCACGCTGGCTTGCTGCAGGCGATGTACCGGTCATTCGAGACATACCTCCTTCCGCTGTCGTAGAAGTGGTGAAGTATCTGAACCTCTGCGTGAACACACGGGTGAAGCCCGCCTGCTGTGAACTTGTCCTGCAGTTGGCCTTCGATCTTGACTTGGGTATCCAGTCGCCGAAGGACGCCCAGGCACGATTCGTGCTGGACATCTGCCTCTGGTAGAATGCGGTTCAGGATACGTGGTAACGTCGTATGCGCATCCGCTTCTGGCACCGACGCGCTGACGGGACGTTGAACCGCCGCAACTTGGAAGGCTTTAAGAAGTGTCTCTACACGGCCGGAGTCATCGAGGAGCTGGTTGACATTGCGGACACGGGCTGCTAGACGGCCGATCATGTGTCTGACTGTCCGAAAGGCCTTGATGAGATCTTCCGGACGAGGGTCACCTTCGGTCCCCTGGCCCAGCTGCTCAATGCGCCGCATCTCCTCGACGTTTCGCGAGCGGTATGCTGTCCGACACAGAGTAGTGAAGGGAGACATACTCTCAAATTGTTGGAGCCACTTGACAACCCGGGCATCTAGACATCGTAAAACCTCAGTCTCTGTGGATATCCTTGCCGGCGACGAACAATTCATGACTTACCGATCTCTTCATCGCTGTTTTCCAGAGAAAGACGGCACTTTCTAGCAGAATTACGAAGAATTCTGGCTTCCTGTCGTAGGCGATCGGAGGCCAACGCAGTACATCGAACTAACAATGCCTCCTCCGCCGTGGCGCGATCCATATCGTTGATTGATTCACAAAACATGCGCAAGATCTTGAGTACATCTTCGAGGAAATCCACTACTTTATCTCCAGCGCCCTCGTTTGAAGCAACCCAGAAGACGTAGCAGTCATAACAGTCCTCGACGGCGATGGCAGTGGCGGTACTTCCTCCCTTCTTGTAATCGCAGAGAAATGCCAGGTTTTTGAAGAAACGTCTTTGAACACCTTGCGTGGTGTACGTCCCGAGCTGGGAGACGATATGTGGGCCGCCGATGGGACGGATGATGGAAAGAAGGACGAGAGCCTCGTAGAGACGGAAACGGAGGCGGGCGTAGGGTTCCATTCGAGGTGTGAGAGCCATTTTTGCGATTTCACTTCTTGCGTTGATGAGTGTGATCCGGGAAATGGAGTCGTGGGGTGTGGTACGATCAATACAGTATGATTGCAGTGTTGAAGTCTTTGAAGAAGCAGCCGAGGATAGTTCAAATCTTTGCAATACAGAATGGCGAAAGCCTGAGAGGACGAAAGGAAGCTGGCCCACGAATGAGGGATTTCACCAATGAAGGACGTCAAGAATGAAGGCCTCTACGGCTAAGCATCCCCGTCCATGGGCCAACTTCCCTTCGTCCTCTGAGGTTTCCGGAGACCTGAGTGTGGTGTGTAGTGATGAGAAATGCTTTGCTGATAACGCAGGAGGCCCTCCAGCGTCGGGAGTTTAAATCAAATGCCGGGTCTGAATTGCCTTTGAGTCTGCATACGAAGTCTGGCGTAGAGTTATGGTCGGGGTATTATCACGCCAAACTTTCCTCTGCAACTCGACGTCATCATTGGAAAGAAGCCGAGCTTGCAATGATCGAATCAAATGATGGCATGAGATAAGCCTGGAGTTTAGAGTTGCGGGCATCCGATCCGAGATTGGACAGTTGCTTGATGTTGCATTGACAGCGCCGCAGGGGCCACCTACGGTTGAAAGATATATCAAATCGTTGGCACACACTCAGCCTCTTCCGTTCTCCCTCCGCGATATCAACATATCACCAGTTCATTTGCACTTCATCAGCAACAAAATCGTTGGCCTCGACCCACCTGTCTTGATATAGATACTAACACGAGGCAGGAAATCCAACTCCTTTCCCCAGATACCTCGAGAGCCAGCCCAAGTACCCCAGTGCTAATAAACCCACCATTTCTTTATGGGCAAAAAGTTAATGACATCTCCAGGACATCAGGACGAGTAAGGAGCAAAAACAATGGACGATCTGGGAATCGAACCCAGGACCTACCGCATGCTAAGCGGTCATTATACCACTAAACCAATCGCCCATGGCATGATCTAGCCCGGACTTGAACCGGAGACCTTCAGTGTGGCAGACGGGAGAACGAATCTCTCGAACTGTTAGACTGACGTGATAACCAACTACACCACCAGACCTTGTTGAAGCAGCGGCCGAAATTTGCAAATACTAATGCTGCGGCGGAAAATTGTGTGCGTGAGAGGTGGGATCTGTGTAGTGGAGATTTGTGAAGCGAAAGTAGATGCAGAGAGCGGGCCGAGATGCAAGGTGGCATCCAATGGTCGACTGCCGATGTGTTGGCGTTGACATGGGTCCAAGTGTGGGAATGGGGACTGCAGGTGGATGCGGAAATCGAGAAAACAACATTCGCGTCTTACTGTAAAGATGCTCATCTGGAGCTAGCTTTGCTATCGCTACGAGTATTAAGGAAAGTCATAATTGGGCTCGCCATGGCAACAAGTTAGTTATCCAATATTTCCAGGCAGATGCCTCTCTCCGACAGTGAAGGACGTTGTCATGAGAGCGCCGTACGTACAAGAACAGGCCCTCGCTTGAGGGCCTGGCCAATAATCGCGTCCGAAAGGACGCAATCGCGACCTTACGGGCCCAGGGGCATCATCAACCGCGTCAGTCGCGACTCGAGAGTGGCAGAAAGGGATGCGAACAATGAGAATAAGGAACGCCGCCAAACACGCGAGACGGTCGCAGGCCCGGTCGACTTTTGTTTGGGACGACCGCGGCTGGGACGGGAACGATTGGCTGAACGCGCGGGTGCGGAGCGCGGGGCGGGCGGGGCCGGTAAAGGTGGGTCCAGAAGCCGGGGGTGAACTCAATCCGCTAGTCTAGAATAGGAAGTGTGTAAACAACAGCTCCATCTGGGCATCAACAACATGCTCATCGAGTACCAGGTATGAAAAGAAGGGAGTGGGTTGACATACGAGACACACGATATAGAGTTCAACAATACCTTGATCTTGTTGAAAGGAGTGTTCATTCGTGTTCATCTTCAGTCCCGTTCTGCCACAAGAACATCGTGACTTTGCCTGCTCTTGTATGGGACTACCCCCTCCTTTAAACCCGTATCATCAGGGTATTCTTTGCTCAACCACCGAGAACGTCAGTTGCTTCACCATGACCAACGACGACCTGCCCATCGCGTTACGGCGCACACGCCGGAGCATGCCCGCATCCGCTCATGAGCCTTCACCAGCTCCAGCACAATCCCAAACACCACGCAAGGCACCAAAACGCCGAGTCCGCTTCTCAGACCCAGGCCCATCAGGATCAACAACACCACGAACAACCCGCACCCTCTCAACAGGTCTCACACCAATGATCAACCGCACATCTCTATCCCGAGGAGGAGTCGCACCCACCCCATCATCATCATCATCCTCACGCCGCCGTCACTCCATGCCAAATCCACCCTCCGGCGCGGCATCAGACCTCCCTCCAAGTGGCGAAGTCCACTTCCTCCCCCTCCGCCAAGTCCTCTCAGGCCGCGTCCAGCGCCGCATCCGCCGCAACGGCCTTAGCGAGGAAATGAACACCATCACAGCCGAGAAGCGCGCCAGCGCAAAGCAAGCAAAGGAACAGCTCCAGACTCTCCGCGACCAACTCCGCCAAAAGGATGCGGAAATCTACGAGCTGCAGAATGCTACCATCATCCTCGACACGGAGCGCATCTGGGCTCTGGAGAAGGAGGTTGATGACCTCAGGAGCCAGCTAGCGGACAGATCTTCTGCGTCCGCGGCAGCGAGGCAGAAGAGCTGCTTCGACTGGACGCTCGCGGCGCGGGACCCGTTCGCCGACGACTTTATGGAGACGGACACCGTCGAGGCGGAGTCGGTGTGCGGGGAGAGGGTGCAGTATGCTGACGAGACGGTGTTTGGGGAGGCGACGATGGCGGAGATGGAGTGTAGTACGCCCACGCGGGTGAGGTCTTCGTTCCTGACGCCGCCGCTGACGAGTCCTGTTGCGGCTGGGCCTGCTACGCCTTCTTCGCTTCGGGGTAAGCAGAGAGTTAGGGTATCGGCGCCGTCGGATGCCGGTGTGCAGGCTGACTTCCCTGATCCAGAGAAGAAGCGGCTCGAAGAGGAGTTGGCTTCTTTGAGACTGGAGATGTCGAAGCTCACCGGCACGTTGGAGTCGTACTCTGCTCTTACCGAGCGACTATCCCAGAAGCTCGCCGCTATTCCGCCTGAAGACACGGCGTCGGATTATTCCATCGCTACAATCGAGACGCAAATCACAAGCCTCCTACGTACGATTTCCGACCGCACCGCCGCGCTGCAGGACCTCAACGGATCCCTCTGCGCCCTAGGCTTCCCCGGCTCCGATGGCGCCGAGGTCGTGACCTCGCTCTCAGCCGCGCTGCGAACCGCCCGCTTGGAGCTGGAGTACCTCACTCCCGGCGAAATCACTCTCCCGCTCTCCTCCCGCGGCGCAGAGGTTCTAGATCTACTGCTCACGAGGCTGCGCGACCTCGCGAAGCGCGCAAAGGAGGATGAGGCGTCGATAGACGAGTATCATGAGCTGGAACTCTCTCTCCGCCAACAATTGGGTGCGCGGGTCGCCGTGATGGGCGAGCTAGAAACCGAGCTTAAACGCGCGAGGAAGGGACTTCAAGAAAAAGACGGCCATGTGAGCGAGCTCGAGGTCAGCGTCGAGAGGCTCAAGGGCGCGGTGGCGGGCTACGTGCGTGACATCAGCGAGCTGGAAGGCGTCGTAGGCAACATGGAAAGCGAGAACCGCGACGCGATGGCGACCAAGGACGCGCAGGTTGAAGTCGGGAGACGGGTTCTGCGCGCCAAGGAGGATGTGATCGCAAAGCTGGAGACGAAGCTTTCGGATGCGGTGGCGCAGGGCCGGTCGTTGCGGAAGAGGCTTACTGAGGCGGAGGAAGCGAGGACGAAAGAAGTCGCGGAGGTGACTAGGCGGGGTGGTGCAGCGCTGGCGGTAAGGGATGCGAGGGTTAGGGAGTTGAGGGAGGAATTGGAAAGGGTGAATGCTGGGTTGAGGGCTGCGCATGAGGGGATTAAGGATTTGAGGGTTGAGAAGAGGGGTTTAGAGGGGGAGATGGTGAGGGAGAGGGAGGCGGCGAAGGGGGTCATTGAGGGGATGAGAGGGGAGCTGGAGAGGGTTGTTGGGATGAGCCGGGAGTTTTTGGGACCCGGGGCGGAGGATGAGGCCGGAGCGGATGATGCGGGGCCGAAGAGTGGAGCCATCGGCGGGTCGGAGTCTGGAGCCAAGAGGGGCCTGCTTGCGGGAGATTTGGCGCGGCGGTCATCCGGGAGAAAGAGGAGAAGGTATGACAGCGGGCTGGGATTCCTGGAAGAGGATGAGGTTGATGCATGAAGTTAGCTGTGCGAGCCATGGATTGAGGCATTGCATGCGTGTATGGCGCTTGAGAACCACTCACACAAGATTTAGAGGAGGGCGTTTTGGCGCATGTTCCAATCGTTTGCCGGTAGTCGCGGCGGTATTTCTTTTGTCGGTTGTAGACTTTATCTTTGCTTTCGCCGGGTTTGGGTAGACAAACGGGCGGGGCGTTGGAATGTAACGGGATTCAGTTGATATCCTTAGCTTGACGCATGCGTGTAAACGTGGGCCACTTTCGCTGAACACAGATTTAAGCTTTGATTGAGCCTGGCAACAATTGATGCTGCTTCGAATGGATATTGTGACTGAGCTTCGAGGAGTGTCGTTGCGTTTATCGTCGACTTGAGGTCATATCATGATGCTCGATTGAGGGCATGTATTCTTGAATGCATGTATTATCGTTGACTTATTCTCCCTTTTACAGGGCATGTATTCTTGAATGCATGTATTATCGTTGACTTATGGTTTCTCCCTTTTTACAATCTTTCCTCATAAATTCTCACTTCAAACAATTTCAACGCAGCTAATAAAGCTCTTGACGGGGTTTAATCAGTGTCCTACCCGCATTCATTCAACGTCTTCATGAACAAGCCGCTTCCGCATCATTCCACAGTCAACATCAAAACCCCCACCAACTGCCGCACCCACCCGCACCACCATCGCATCATGACATCTTCACGAGCGGTAACACAAAAACGGCCGCATGCGTGCAACACCAGCCCGCAACCCGCCAACGTGTCCTACATGAACATCAAAAAACAGGCCCTCCCAGCCCCTTTTCCTTCTCTCAATTCAGTCAACCTTTCAATCCAAATCAAAAGATCTAATTTCCCGGCCAAATTCCTCCATGTCTTCTTCAGATTCTTCACCAACATCCCAAATCGCTCCTCCCAACGATCCTCCTTACGCCAAGCACGACAACCACAATTCCGCAGAAATGTTACCCCCCAAAGCGAAATTCGTCCGCGAGTTCGAGCGCAACAACAGCCTCACACGCAAATCCACATCGACATCCACAACCCCATCCTCCAAAATCTTCACCCACAATCTAAACTACACCTTCACGGCCCCCTCGGTCCCAGACATGACCTACTTCGCCCGCATCCTGCACTACCAACGCTACGGCCACGACGGCCTCGCCTGCTCCGGCGCGTGCTCGAGTAATTTCACGCTGCCCATGTACGAGAAGCAGGAGTACATGTCACCTTACCAAGTACGATACACGGAGCGCCCCGGTTCGCGGGGCTCGTTGAAGAGTGATAAGTCCTTTGATGTCGCGGGATACCGGCGACAGCTAGCGGCTGCGGGGGTGAGGAAGAGAAAGTGGAATACGTTTTGGGCTGTTATTCTTGCGTTGTTGATTATTTTCTTTGGGGCGGGTGTTTTGGCCTTTGTTCTATTGTCGATTCAAGTGAGATGACTGAAGCTGCATATTAGTTTTGCGACGCAAAAATTTGGGTTTGAGGCGAGCATCTGTTATATTTTTGATGGAGGTTCTTAAAAGTTCTACTTGGTGTATAGCAAGCGCTCCGTGTCTCTCAACGACCAGGAACTCCGATGAGTTTCCGGTCTATTAACTAAGGGTTAGGAGTTTCTGGAGGGATTGCTAAATTGTATTAATCGATTGATTTTGCGTACACTTGTTTTTGACATCTTTAGTGGCTCTTTGTTTGACATCCTTCTAGTCCCTACGCCCTTGCTGACTAAAAGTTTGTCGATAGTGCCCCTCCACCCCGCTTTTCCAAACCATCACGACTAAGACTTCGACATCGCTATGCGAAGAGTTCTCGGTCCAAGTGCCTATAAAGCCCAATCATTCGCTCACATTACCTTAGAAACATCAAAGCCAATCAAGCCATACCATAACACTTCAAGATGACGACCTCTATCGGCGAAACCTCGCTCCAAACCCTTCTCTCAACCCTTACCACCGTCCTCCACCCGGAAACCTACGTCTTCGTCACCCTTCCTGCGGACGCCCCACTACCGCCCCTCTCTAAGATTCAACTACTGTTTAGAGAGTCCGAGGGCGTTACTCTCATCACCACTCTCGATACCGCGACAGCCCATAAGTGGGACTATGCCTTCCCCTCAAAGATGATTACCCTCAACGTGCATTCAAGCCTGGAGGCTGTGGGATTCATGGCTGTTATTGCCACGAGGTTGGCCACCAAGGGGATGGGGGTCAATCCTGTCAGTGGGTATTATCATGATCATTTGTTTGTTCCTGTTGGCAGGGAGGAGGATGCTGTAGCAGAGTTGAAGGAGCTTGCTCTGGAGTCTGGGAAGGGAAAATGAGATCTAGCAGCCAAGGGTCAAAACAATTGCTGTATGCTTTGAGACTTTTTAGTGGCCAGGATTGAATCAAGTAAGAGAAATTCTAATGTGAGCCTATCTCTGGAGACAAAGAGGCGCAGACTTTGGGCGTAACAATACATGGTGTACATTAACGGACTACCACAATCTTGGGAGACTGGGGCACACAGGTCAAACTATGAGCGAAGGAAAGGCTCCCAAGACAGGGGTCACAACAAGCTAACCAACATTTTCCCAGCGTCTGAGAAGCGCCCAGTATGAAGTAGTCTCTTCCAGCAGCCCTCAGCTCTCGACACCATACTTCATCTCACCTGTGTGATCTTCGCCCGTCAGTATACTTTGAAAGTGAAATGTTAGAGAAACGTCTTCCAAATTCTTGTGTCGCTGTGAGGTAACCTTTCAAACGGCTGATCCCACGGTGAGGGATGAGGCGCCAAGGAAACAGAGATAGGCAGCAAGGCGGTATCGGTATTGGTCCAGGCTAGGCTGTCCGAGAGAAGCTTAGCTTGAACATGGGGAACTGCAGGTCCAACTCCAGAGGCGGACTATCAGCGTATCAATCCGCTCACTCTTGCCGCCGCCTTTCAGCTTGCCGCGATCATGCAGGGTTCAGAAAACAAGCGGAAGGATTGACCAAAGAGATGCAACCTAGCAAGTCAACTTAATCATATGATAACATTGATCAAGTGCACTGGCTTCCCCACAGCTCCCGAGCATCACGACTTGGATTTTCTAATTCACTGGCTCACCACCTTCTTCTCTTGATCCCGACTCTGAATCCCCTTCACATCTGAGACTCTTCTCTTTGACATTTTATGACGATCAGCGAGATTTCACTTTCCATACTGATCCCACATGGAGCAATCGGAGCCTAGGCTTCCAAAGCCTCGGACCAAGCAGTCTAAATCCAAACCTGCGCTATTTACAAACTTTTACACGCCTGAAAACTCAGACTTCTACGCCAAGTTCAAATACCGACCTTTGGACAAGAAATATGAAGAAATTCGACTCCTCGATGTTGACCTCACTGGGGGCAACAACCACCGAATGATCCATCCCATTTCTTTAGCAAAAGCTGGGAAATATTGTGCCATCTCGTATTACTCGGGCAATCCCAAAAACACCGTGCCGTTCTGGATCGAGGGCATAAAGATGAACATATTTTCCAATCTCGCCAAAGGAATCGAGAACGCTGCCAGCTTCTGGAAGAAAGGATCACCAAACCAGCCCCTGCGAATCTGGGTGGATCAGATTTGCATCAATCAGAGCGATTTACCAGAAAAGTCGCACCAAGTCAACTTTATGCGCGAGATCTACCGGAACGCTGCACATGTATACGTATCAATGCCGGTGAAAAAGAACCTTCGTCCCGTTTTCGAATGGCTGACGGGTCTTGCGGCGGCGAGGACGACGAAGGGGTACGAGCCATCACCAAACATGCTCTACGAGAACCCGCCACCAGAGCCAAATCTCCCGGGAAGATGGAGAGATAAGGTAAATCCAGAATGGCCAGCAGATTCCTGGGAAGACATGTACCATGTGATCAATCATTCTTGGTGGAGCCGCTCGTGGGTTTATCAGGAATTCATTGTCGCGTCCGATGTCTTCTTTCTATTTTCTGACGAGGTCTCGATGCCATGGAACCAGCTCCACCCCATTCTGTCTCTTTTCATGGAACTGGACACCGTCAATGCATGCAAGGAGGCGCTACAGAAACGGGACCAGGCTGATGACACCATGCATCGGTACAAAATCTTTGCCAGCATCAAGCCCATTAAAGACCATCTTCGCAGCGCATTCAAGGCAGCCTGTGAGTGCTGTCCTATCTGCTTCTACGATGATCGCTTCTCTGGTAAACCCTTTACTCCGACCCGGTGTTGCATCTCTTCATGCGTTTGCACTGCCCATGTACTTAAAGCTGCTGCGTACGCTGTACCTTGGACCCTCGGCTGTTGCTTCTTTCGCTACCCTTGCTGTCCCGGGTACGAGGCCCGGACGACGCAAAAGTTGAGAAGTAGAACAAGTTTGGTGGGAATGAAACACCATGTCCAGCGGTTAAGAACAACAAACGCTAGTCGAGCACTTGTCAACAGGGTCATTGAGGGTAGAGAACTATGGGAAAGGCAAAAGCATCAGATCAACTTGTCTTATCTTCTTCAGCACGCACGAAACACCGAAACGTCACAGCCGAAAGACAAGTTCTATGCCTTTGTCGGACTGGCCAACCTCGGGAACGAAGTGCCAATCCGGTACGAGCCAAGTTACAGCATCCAGGCAGTGCTCATCGACGTTGCTCGTGCGATTGTGGTGCACGAGGACGCAGGCCTCAACATCTTGGCACAAGCAGGTACGGCGTCACACAGTCGAGAACTTCCCGAAGGCAAAGACGCACTACCGTCGTGGGTACCAGATTGGGACAAGCGGGAGGATACCGAGAGGCAAAAGTTCATCGACGCCTTGGAGCTGCCGCCTGCATGCACCGCAGGCACAACGCACAGCTCCAAAGCCTCTCTGGACTTTTTGGAAGACAGACACGGGAATGAGAGGAGAGTACTCGTCGCCGCGGGAACCCAAGTTGATGTTCTTGGAAGCGCCATTGACAGGGGCGATGACGGCTTTCTGCCTTGGAAGTCCTTTTCTAGTTCGGATGGGCAAAGAGTGATTACGACGACGAGTATTGCGCATTTTGGGGATGAGGTTTGGGTTCTTTACGGCATGAGCTGGCCGGTCGTGTTACGAAGAAGTTCGGCTGACGATTCCACAACGCTCCTCGCCATCGCTATGGTGCGTGAGAATGGTCAGCCTCATCAGCTCATGTTCGGAGACAAGAGCCTTTCACGAAGGGCGGATAGAGTGGTCATAGTCTGAGGACTTCAGTTCATCTTGGTTGGAAGTGAGCTACCTATCTGTATGTGTGGACAGGTTGAAATATACAGAAACTCTAATATGACTTCATGTTCAATGGGCCTGTTTCCATCCTGTAAAAATTATTTGAAATTTGAGCCTTAATTTTTCAGCTACGACTGCGCATCGTTCTCGATTTGCAGGAAGCTACCACGTTACTCAGTTGCGGCCACACCATCCATCATCCTAAGCTTTTGCGACCCAGCTTGATCAAGTGGTGTCATTTCAGGTCGGGAATGTCCTCGAGGAAATCCGTCGGTTCAAGAGGTCCCCATTCAAATGACGCCCACTCAAACGGGTCCTGCTCAGATTGTGCAGCCCAAAATGTGTTTTCCGGTGGATATCCATCAGGTTGACACTTTGAAAGTGTAGTATCAGAAGATTTCGAACCATCATAGGCCGCAGTACTGAAGAGATCTCCGTTATGGGCTTGCGTCTGAACATTGAGAGTTAAGTTCGGGGAATAGAATCTCTCGAGAAGCGTGTTTCCCACCGATTCAGTCTTCTTCGACTCTTCATTGCTGTCGAAGAGCATAGAAAATTCGTACTGTCGAGAAAGAGAGGCTTGGGCTTCCCTAACAATTCCCACAAGTTGGCTCGTCATTTCGTCTTCCAAAAATCCCATTTTGTCGAGTTCGCGTCGAACAGCCTGAGGAAGTTCTCTATCCAAGAACTCAGAGTATCTTTCAACTGCCGGATCTTTCCGTTTTGCATGACTCTCCGGTTCTTCATAGTCTGCGTCATATCAGTTACAGTGACGGATGAATCAGATTGAGACGACTCACAAGGACTAGGTATTTCCCGGGCGCCTGGAAATAGTATCGAGTACATTTCTCTCCACTTTTCAGCTTCATTTGTCTCCCCGGATCTTTGTTGTAGCCGTTGTTTCTGATACTTATCGAGCCATTCCATCTCGGAAGGCTCTTCTCTAATGGCGCATATCTTCTCTGCTTTCAAATGTTCAACTTGATCCATTTTCGAATTGAATGGTTCACGGCATCGAGGGCAGGTTGACAGCGGCGCCGCATGGCAGCTGTAGATGTGATCCCTTCTGATGGATTAGCAACAACCGATACTTGGAATTGGGCAAATAGGGCTTACTCGAGAAGGTCCATCGTGGGCCATCCGGGCCCTGAGCAGCTCCGCCATTTTGGCGAGCAGAACCTCTGAGGAAACCTCTGATAATAGGGACATGGAAATCTGCGTTCCCTGTTGGCTTTCTCATCCGCACCGATTCCCAATGAAGGTAAGCCTCTACGTTTGTTCCATTTGTTGGACGACATTCTAGATACTCTACTGAATTTGGCTTCATTCAACCGCTCTGGAATGTATACGGGATAGGATTGTGTCAGGATGTCTTCGTCCATGAAAGGCGAGGATGGAGAGGGGAGGGTAGGGAATAATATCTTCCATAGTTCAAACCATTGCTCTACCTTAGATGAACCTCTTTTGGCTCTCCAAGAAAGAAGTACTTGTTTCTGGGCTGGATTGATTCCTTCTGGTTCAGGTTTTGAAGAGTGATCGTGCGTGCAGGACCTTTGCCGCAAGTGAACTGTATAATCGTCGTTGGTGTCGAAGGTTTCCATACAGATTACACAGTGAATCGGCTGCACGTGACGTCGAAGTATATGTTGCTTGACGTATCTGATCTCCGAGAGCGTGGCACTGTAACATAAGCGCTGCTTGTTTGGATCCAGTTTCCAGAAAGGACAGGCAAATTGGTGTTGAGTGCTCTTTCCCTTCGTTCTCTTGCTTGTGGAGGCTTTGGGGTCCTCATCGTCGCGGTCAGAGTCGCCGTCATTGCTGTGTGACCTCTTGCTTGGTCTTGGTTGGTGGACATATGGCCTTGCTCTCGCGGATGAAGAGAGTTCTGAAGCTCCTCTTTTTGAAGCAACGGCTGATGAAGATGTCTGAGGGCTTGTGGAGACAAAGCCTCTGGTGTTTGCTTTCTCAATAGAAGAAATGCCGGAGTCTGCTGTACAGGATAGCCTGGAGCGTTGCAATACATAGGATCTGCCGAATCGTTAATACCATGCTCGTTATTTGTGACTAGCCAATGATTTGGACTGGAATCGGAAGTCGTGGCTACCTAAGATAAGCCGTTATCTTGGAAAGCTGCGGCGCGAGGTCACATGACGCTTTCCACGTGCTTTCCCCGGGGTTGCCCAATGGGGGAGTGTGAAGTGTATCCACGGCCATTTGGCTGTTGTACTGGGGGATAGCGAGCTGCTCGCGCCGAGGCCATGTGTGTTGAGTGTTGAATCCGTAATCTTCACGCAGCTGTCGTACTTGATGTATGGCCCTGTCATCGAATGTCATGGCTAGACACGGAACAGCCATGTTTGATCAAGTGCGGAACCAAACCGCGGGGGATGGGCTAGCCTAGTAGCTGTGTAGAATGACAAACGAGCCAGCAGATTTGAGCCGAACAGGATTTCTCTTGTGACCGGCCAAACAACGCTTCAAGGGAGCGGTATCGGCCTCGGGTAAAGTAGCACTTTCCTGTGATCCGGAGTAGATAATAGGCGAGAAATCATGTAGAGCACATCGACGATGGGCTATTAGACGAGGTCTTTGATCAAACACGAAAAACAGACACATTCACAAATGACGACAAAAGAGGGGAAGTCAAAAGTGTTAGGAAACTGGGCTGCGCGAGAGAGATTGGAGAGTGGTAAGCCCCGGGTCGGGTTATCGTGTGGCGTTTGTTGAGGGGGTATCATTGGACAGACTAGCTGTCACCCTCAACCAATCACGACTACAAGATGATTTCCCACCTCGTACTCTGGCTTGTAGTCTTACACTCAGTAAATATGTAGAGATACATGTAAGTCTGTGGACTGAAACATGTCAACGCTGAACGTCGTACACCGGCGAGTGGCATTGCAGCAAGCATCCTTGCCTCCTTGACGGCATCGTCCGCCTGCTCCATTACACCATGGCGTCGTATAACGAGTCGAGGCTCGGGCGAATTACCCCTCCTTTCCTTAGCTTGGTCATCTTGAAATTCTACAGGTGTGCGCAGGCTGGTGGCCTCTGTAAAAACCAATCGGCGATGACGGCGAGTTGAGGAGTTATGCGGCGGCTCCCACCGCCCAATTGGACCAAGGTTGCCGTTATCTACGGTTCTTGGTCAATTGGTAACCTGGAAAGGGGCCTGAAAAAGGGGCGCTTGTAGTGATGAGTGACTGGCGAGCCCCTTATCGGTTGAGCCAGAGGCCCTCGGATGGGAGAGGGACGACGACGGTCTGCGTCGGGATGCAGAACAGGGGGGGTGACCAGACGGATGTCATCGACCGAGTTGAAATGATGTTCGAGAATTTGGGGGTCTTTGGGACTCCCCCCATCGCAAGCTTGATATCGTAATTTCCATTGTCGCCCCCTCTTCCTCGCACACAGTGTTTCTCACTCACAATATCCCATTCATTGCCAATCATATCCAGGACAACAGAACTCCAACTTGTTTGGGAAGTGAATGCAACGTTTTCAGATCGTGAATACTCAAGGCCTCAGGTTAGTGTTGTGCTCTCGTATCTTTCTTGGTGGACGTTGTCGACAGTCAATGTCTTGGGCCGACGCTGGAAGCCACCGAGTGGTGCCGACCGAGTGGGCTAAAGGTGTGATGATGGATCAAGTCCCACATACGCACGATGCCATCATGGAGAGCACGAGTTGGGACGGTACCCTATCTGAGAATGGAGACACAACGTAGAAATGATGAAGCTGACGATGGCACACTAGTACCACCCATCATTGTCGACTTCGTCAACTCGGCTACGAACAAATCAAAAGGAGAATATAGAGAATTTAGCGGAATGCCCGTTCAGATCCTCAGAGACGCCGGTGCCAACTTGGCCGCGTGCTCCAGAAGAGTGCGAACGTACTGTCATCGACTGTACCTTCGCATCCTTGGACGAGACGGTGCTCCTCGGCAGGGTGAGGATGTTCAGCAGAGGGGTCGCGTCGCCAACCCTCTCGTCATCCTTGTCATAGAAATTTTCACAACTGACTTCTCCGTGTCTCGAGCAATGGTTGCTCAACTCGGCTTCGGGTTCGTGTACGGTGTTGCAGTCAGCGCTCTTCATCTGCCGCTAGGACCCCGAACTCGCTTGAGAACGGTTCTCGCTTTGGCGGGTGTCATGCCCGCGGCCGTATACCTCTTCCCTGGCGGCCCGACGCTTCATGTCCTACCCATGATCATCATCTCCGCTGCGGCAGGGACTGAGATCCAGCACAATCTCCTTGTCCGGAGTCGCACTTGGACAGCCGACTCGGTCCTGCGACCCCAGAGCTCGGTGGAGTGCCTCTTGGTGGCTTGGCTGATTGCCGTTGGAGGCAACGTCAAAGAAGCCAGCCACTTTATTCAAGCTGGCGCGGTGCTTTGCTTGGATGTCCTCTCTTCATCGGTCGCAACCAGGTCTTTGACGAGGTTCTTCCTCCGAGTGGTCTTGGTGACGCTGGGGTTGGCGTGTTTGGTTCAGGTAGGTTTACCTCGTCGGGCTGAGGCGAGTATGGCTGACCGATGTCTAAGCAATTCCTGCCTTCTTCGACACCCAAGAATTTGGACCGCCGAGGTGAGGTCACATGTTCTTCTCAAGGACAGAAAGGTATGTCGATAGTTGTCATCTCATCTACGTCTTTATCCCGAGTATTCTGATCGTTGAAATAGGCTGGCCCAGGCCTGAAGTCCTGATGGTGATCGGCTTTTTCGTGACACCCGGCATGGCTGTTTTGTACAAGGACGTCAGAGAGGTATTCATCCCTAGAGTGTACAACTGGGTATTTCGTAGACAGAAGGTACAGGAGGACGAGGAGAATCCCGCGGCAAATGGCGTTCTTCCTGTTCAAGACAACCAGCTCCCAGCGTGGGGTGATATCGAAGAAGAGCTTCGAGCCGGGATTGAGCAGTGGATGGACTGATGTCGTTTTTGGCGACCGCATCGTAGCTACTGTATAAGCTGCCGCGGCCGAGGTTCGATCGGGGGTAAATGATATTTACGGGCATGGTTTGGTTTCGGCGTTACTGAAGGGTTTTCATGGGATGTGTGTTCAATGGCAAAGAGTGTATAAATACATCCTGAAGGACGGAGTATGGAATAAAAACAGAAATTAGAATGGGCATTTAGAGCACGATGTGAAGCGTGGTTGATTCGTGTAAGCCAGCAAAGGACTTGTTTTATTGATGAGCTGTAAGCGTGGATTGGAGAAGACGAAGAAGCGAAGGGGGATCAAGAAGCAGGTAGAGAATTGAAAAGAGTTGGAAACAACTGTCATCTATTCCACACATATGCCGCATTCAATCATCCCATGTATAGCCAGGCATCAATCGCCATCATTTTGCGCAATCTCCTGGAGGCAGACGGGCCAAATGTGGAGAGATCAAGTGCTGCGAAGCGCACAGTTGTGCACTTAGAGCTGTGCGCTTAGAATGTGCACAGTTGTGCGGGTGCGGTGCAAAGGCGCTTCAGCTTTGTGGATACCTTAGAGAGAACCCTGAGGGAATAATCAGTGGCAGGTAGGGCAATCTAAATGCCGGTTGCTAGGATCAGTACCGGTAGGACGATCTGGCACTACTAGCCCCTTCGTGCAACTTGCCAACTGTGACAAGCGTTATGCGATTGGCGTTGTCTGCTGTCTGATACAAAAGGCACTGGAACCAGTAGAATCCTGTAGTTACCGTCAATCTCCAAAGGTATCCGGAGGTTCTCCCTTCGCTCGATTGTCGACCCCAGTAGCTTGAGGGTAACGGAAATGGTGAGGTACCTAGGAAAGGGCACTGCGGCATTGATGTAAACGGATATGGCGTGGAAGCCATGTAGGAGTTCCAGGGTGCCCCCAAGATAAGCTCGAACGGACCTCCGGAGCTTCTCGGCCTGGTCGGGTGCCGTGTTCGATTACTCGCGAAGCCAGAGGAACGTTTAGCGGCGAGAGGCAAACCGACCCGGAGCCGAAATGTGGGGCAATGCCGGTCGGGGCCTGGCAACATCCATCTCCTTCAGCTTGGGACGTTATGCTGCTACTCTGTATACTGGATACGACGCTCGATGTAACATTTACACTTGATTATGGGACTAGTCTTGGAGATGAATCCATCGTACGCGAGATTCATATTTTGCACTGAGAAATCGCATTTCTAACGACGCGCAAAGACAGACGTGGTTCTTATGATCTGTGGCATCAATACCAGCGCAATTTCGATCATATGCATCAAAGCTAGCTTTTCTATAGCTTCTCCATTACGAGTATTTTTGCAAAGTATTCTACGTCATCTGAGCAGCAGAGATCTCATGGATAAAGTGCTGCTTCGACCTCAAGTGCGACAATACAGAGCCATAATACGTGTACGGGCCACCCGGCAGCCGTATTACCGAATTTCGCAGGTCATCTCTCGCATGCACACTCGCCGTAGTTCTCCAAGCTTTCATTATATCATCATCAACGACACCATCGTCCTGAGTACTCTTCCGAGTAATCTCAGCAAGCCCACTGTCGACTTCGTAGCGAAATATACTGACCTGCGGCCTGCCCGTCCCAAATATTCCAAATCTCCATCGGCTCAAGCTTCGGCATCAGGCAAGCCGCCAGCGCAGCCAACAAAAGCAGCGTCTTGATCTTCATCCACCTCTCAACGGCTTCATCGCTGTCGCCGCTCTCGCCAAGAAAAATCTCGGCAGTTAGCGCGAGCGTCTTCAGTTCCGGGAAGCTAGGTGCGTTGTTCAGAAATTCGTCGGCATCGACGGTAAAGCAGAGCGCTAGATGCTCCACAAGAAGACAACTTTGCACAATGGAGCTTACTAGTTCTTCTCCTTTGACGCCTCTATAGAAAACACGCGCAAAGTAAGGTGTGCTTGACGCTTCGTGTAGGATTGCCAACTTCTTCAGCGAAGGCCTTAATAGCTCCGGAGTGCATCGAGATACCTTGACCTTGGCCCATGTGGGCAATCCAAACTATGCTCGTGTGACCAAAGGGCTCAACCTCATCTTATGGTGCAAGAGATCCCGTCTCGAGATACTTCGAATACCTAGTGATCGACATCGTCATTTGGCGTATAATTGTCATACCTGATGAGCTTCGCCAGCGTATGGGAGCTCATCTCGAGCGTCAATCCTTCTCCGGCCTGATCAACTTCCCATGACGCCAAAGTATTCCACAGGTATAGTGTAGCTGTAGCAAATGGGCTGCGTGATTGAATCCAGGGTAAAGTCGCGTCATCCTCTTCGGGGTGACGCTCCTCGAGGCGAAGCCAGATGTACCGGACGTACTCCTCAGGCTTTGCGTGTGCACCCTGAACGGAATGGGATCTTGCAGCCGCAGAGCGAAGTTCTTCAATGCCAGGCTCTCGAAGAAATCTAGCCATTCTTTGAATACGCCGGCGTAGCCAGCTATGCCGCGACTGGGTGAGGACGGTGAGCTGTGGGCATTCGCGACATGCTTCAAGATCTGAAGATGCAATTCTCGCGGCAAAGAAGCCCGACGTGGCTTCGCGCCATTCATGTTCACCTTCCGTTTTAGAATAGGGCCCGGTGAGAGAGAGTGAGGTGCTGTGTTTGGAACGGAATTGCTGGATGAGGAGAAGTTGGTAATGTCGCGAGTCCGCACTGTAGCCGCCGCAAGCCTGCGGGGCATCCCCGACCTTAGCTATGCATGTTCGGTCGTAACATGCTGTTAGCATCCATCGACTCGTAGTCATTTCTTTCCTGTTCTTACTTGATCTTGATTTGAAGCGACAAGCGCAGCGCCTAGGCCGCTAATCGCCGGCTGACGTTGATTTTGATCTGCTAGCCGACGCACAGAATAATTGTCAGGGATCCACTTCGAACCCCCTGTACGGCGAAAGCGAATACGATACGGGATTACGAACGCGAAATACGAGGTATAGTCTAGCGAAGTGGATTCAAGTGGCTGAGGTCCTACAAGACGAGGGACTTGCATGGGTATGAATTATTCTTACGGTCTAGGGTTAGGAATTAGACCATAGTATTGCTCAGGGTCGAAGCACGGCGCGCGGCGTCTGTAGCGCGCGGAATACTATTCGGGGGCCTAACAATGTATACTTAAATTTTGTATCAACACCTTCATAGCCAAGCCACCCGTATGATACCTAGATATGTCTTTGCTAATGTGGATATAACTAGCGTTCTACTAGGACTCGCTATTTCGTACATACAAACCGAGTGAAGAGGTCGGCCCCTGTTTAGCGATGCACGCTGCTAATGTGTTGAGAATCCCAATCGTTGCAATTCATGGGAGACATAGCCATGGCATTCCTTGGCAAAGTTCTAAAGTGTTGTAAATACTGCATTAGATATTTCGAGGCGTTGCCGGTAACTTCGGGATTGTCTCTGCAGTTGAGTAGATAAAGAACGTTGCTTTCCCGCTTCTAGCATTCATTATCACTTATCTACATCTGAGTCTCATTTGGATCTCCCTCATCATGAAGGCTAAACTTCTCCCTTGCTTCGTTACGTACCTGTCAGTACTTGTCTTTGGTGCTGTCTCCTCGACTGTGGCCCCAATAGGATGCCGGAAGCTGAGTACAGATCACGACTGGCCCGCTCCCGAGGTTTGGGAAGCCGCCATTCCAGGCGTCATCCGGCAGAATGGTAGCGACGCCCATGGCAGGTTTCCTGACTACCGTGTGCGAGCTGAAAACGCTTCTATTGTCCAGGCAGCCGTACGATTCGCTTCGAAGCACAACATTCGCCTCTCGGTCATCACCACCGGTCACGATCAGCTAGGCCGGAGCGATGCTGGATCTGGCCTCATTATTGACCTATCCCTCATGAACAAGGTCAACGTTCTCGACTCGTTTACTCCAACAATCAATGGTGCTGCCAGTCCTGAGTATTCTATCGACGCCCCGAATGTGATCAATCCCAAGCAGGGGGTGGAAGCCGCTGTCACATTCCAGCCTGGAGTTGCCGGGCTGGCTCTCAACTATGCAGTATCTCCCTCAGGACTCTTCACCGTCAGTGGTGCAGCCGGTATGAAAAATCTCCGTGGACAGTGTTTCCTTGAGAACTAACGCAATCGCAGCTGGGGTGGCTGTCTCCGGTGGTTGGGGACAGAACGGCGGCTACGGCCCATTAACTGCGCAGTACGGTCTCGGGGTTGACCAGTGGCTTGAAGCAAAGATTGTGACTCCAGACGGAGAGCTCAGGATCGCAAACAGCGTGTGTAATCAAGACCTTTTCTGGGCCATTCGTGGAGGTGGCGGAGGAACCTTTGGTGTAGTTGTCGAAGCCACTTGGAAGGCACACGCTGATATTCCCATGACTGGGTACAATTGGTACATTAACTCGACGATCACAGGTTCGAATGTGTTCAACTCAGAGACCGGAAGTACGCCAGTCAGCGGCGCCATGCAATATCTGTTCAGAGAGTTGCCCAGACTACAAGAACAGGGCATCAGCGCTTTTATTTACGTCGATGTTAGCTCCGTCAGGTGCTACGCCGTCCATCCCGGAAATGCCTCCGGAATCGCCAACGCTAATGCCGTCTGGGGACCAATCCTTTCCAAAATGCAATCATATCCCGACATGACTCCATTCCAAACCAAGCCTTACAACTTCGACAACTACAAGGACTTCTTCGATACGACATATGGACCTCTCATGCTCGGAACGGGTCCGAACCCCCAGCCAAGAAATCACGGAATTTACCCATACGACAGCCGCCTCCTAGCTCCTGAGCATCTTCGAGATCCAAGCATTATAAGTGCGTTGAAGGGAGGACTTGGGACTTACGGAGTACTCATGACCGCACCGGGTCAATCGCAAGGCTCTGGCGAAGACACCTCGGCGAATCCGGGGTGGAGGAGAGCGGTGGTTCACCTCGTTGATGGACCAAGCGCCAGCGGACTGCGAACCCTTGCTCCAGACATGGGTGCCTACATCAACGAGGTATGCTAAGTCCGGCAACAGAGTGACTATAACTAACCTTCCTCGTGCAGGCAAGCGTCGCAGAGAAAAATTGGACCCAATCCTTTTGGGGTGCCAACTACGCCAGGCTGTCAATGATCAAGTCGAAATATGATCCAGATATGGTGTTTTGGCAAACTCCGGGGATCAATGCTCACCACATGCAGTCTATCGATGGACGAGCATGCTTAGTTCTCCCCCCACCTTTGACGCCACCTGAAGTTCCCCCTCCGAGCGATCGAGTTGTTCCTGCGGATCCCATAGCAGACGCGCAGTTCCTCTTTGGCTCATTGGAGTTGATTGGTGTCAACTATCCGGCTCCAGGTACCCAGATTGGCTTGCAGTCTGAGCCAGCCTAGTTTGATACCAAAGATAGGCAGGCTTTTTGGCCATTGTCGGGTTCCTGAAGGCGAGACATGGGGTCGGGTAGGCTTCTCGCCGCCAGAGGTTATTCGCTTCATTTCGTAAAGTTCGGTGTTTATTAAGAGGCGGATTGGAGACATTAGTTGTGCATCATCATGGGTTGAGTAGAATTTTAGAGTAGCAACTCAGTCTTCTTCACGTATTGTTCAAGTTCAAAGTGGCGTGAAAATACAGAATTCGCCGTCCGCCATCGACATAATGCATTGGTAAAAGCTTCACAGCGACTACGAAATTGGTCTGTTGGTGTCTGAGATCAGGGGCGCCTGTGGACCAAAGCATGGGAAACTTGAGAGTGAGTGTTATCAACTACCTATTTACAGAGAACGTAATAAGCTACAGAACATTTACGAAGAAAACGAAATCACACTTGACAAGCCCGAACTTTTCATGAATACTGATTTGCTCGAAGCTCACAGCCTAGGAAGCAACTTCGCTCCAGAACAGCTACTCATGGGTTCAAAGTATAAGTGATGTTGTTCCCAGGAACCCTCGGGTAGAACTCAAAGGTAAACGTTGTCGCCTTCCCAGCGGAAATAACAGCCTGAACGGTAGCAGAAGGTAGGATGATGTTGCCGCCGTCAAAGTTCCACTGCCCGTTGAAAGTCTATTCTCAATGTCAGTACGTGCTCTTCTATTGCTCAACCCAAGGGAACCATGGTTTCCATAATCCGTTTGGAAAGGATGACTTACGAATCGAGCCTGCTGCAACGGTCCAAGGTACTGCGTCCAGTCATCAAACAAGTAAACTCCATCACTCCGCAAAGCCTTGACAGCAGCAACCGTCTTAAGTCCCTTGTAGGTGACGGGAATCTTCAAGTCGGCGCCCGCAACGGCCGTGGAGCTCGTCACACTCGCCACCGGGACATCCCACTGCACGATTTCGACCTGCGACGTGGCTCCCGCGGAGAACGCCAAGGTCAGGTTCGCCTTGCTCCCCGGCGCAGCAGCGGCACTCAAATACTTGGACAAGAAGGCGGTCCTGAAGGTTATTGAGGACGCCGATGCGGTGTAGTCCGTGTTCGCAGCCAACGTGGTTCCAGTGTTGGTCTTCACCGACTGCAACGTGTTGCCGTTGAACAACCAGGGGAGAGTCTGGTCCGCCGGCGCGGTGCCCACCTTGTTCCAGATGTATGCGGATGATGACTGTGTCGTAGCTGATGCATCTGTAGTGCTATCCGGCAAGGAATTCTTCACTCCCTTTACGGCAGTGTTCAGAATCGCCAGCGAGGTCGGGTCCCGCCAAGTATGCGCATTGCGATCAAGATGATCCAACCCGTTATCCCAAATCACAACAGCAGTATTCAACTCCGCCGCCGTCCTCACAAACTGATCCGTCCACTTCCACCTTGCAGCAGGCTCAGTATTCAACGGACTCGCGTCAAACTCCCCAATCACCAGCGGCACATCCGTAAAGTTTCCCCTCACAATAGCCATCTCGTTCCTCATCGCAGCCTTATCCGCATCCGAGCCCCAAATTGTCTTGCCCCACGCCGAGAAGATAAAGTCGTACGGGCTGTAGACGTGGTAATGCAAGACCCAGGGATTCTTGATGCTCGCGGGGGCTTTGAACCACTGCGTCGTCTTAGTCGCGTCCATGCCGCCGCCGACGAGGTTGACGACGCGGCGCGTGTTGAAGCCGCCGCTGTCGGCGAGGGCTTTGAGGAAGAGGTCGTTGAGGGTGTTTATGCGGGCGCCGTGGTCGGCTGTTGTGGCTGGGGGTTCGTTGATTGATTCAAAGGAGACGAGGTTAGATTTACAGGCGAGCTTGCGGCCGATTTGGAGCCAGAGGTTGTAGAATTTGTCGTTTAGGGTTTGCATGTCTGCATCTGAGGTCGCTTTTGTCACGTCGGCCCAGTTCCAGGAGTCTTTCCATGTTGTGTAAGCACATCAAGACAGCAGATGGGCCAGACTGGGCATTCTTACCGTGATGAACGTTAGTGAGAACGTAAAGGCCCCGGGCAGTGGCCATATCAACTACGTCCGACACACGCTGCAGCCAAGCTGTGTCAACGGTATAATTGGGCGCTGCGCTGGTGAAGTGGTCACTGTAGGTGACTACCGGACCATTAACATCAACGATTACTGATTGCCGAGGTAGACATAGACTCACCTGGGATGCGAACGCTCTTGAATCCCGCAGCCTTGACATCATCAAAAGTCTTCTCGACGACGGGTGGATTGTTCCAAGATCCCTCGTTCGGAATAGCGTCGAGAGTGTTGCCCAGGTTCCATCCTGGGCTCATAGCCTTGACATAATCCGCCCCCGAGATGTCGCTAAAAGAACCAGAACAAGCCGTGGGCGCGGCACTGGCAGATGAAGATCTAACAGAGCTTGTTAACTGAGATGAGCTTGTCGCGCGTGAAGTAATGGTTGTTCCAGCAGCGGGGGGCTTCGAGGTTGACGTTAGAAGAGTGGTTGGGGAGGGTGAGCCAGATCCCTCGAGACACTGTGAGTACCCTGGTACTGAAATCAGATGTTGCTCACGAGAAACTTGTGCAGAGACTTACAGTCATTTGCCTTTTCGCAATGCCATCCTGCTGTACACGTCGTCGGTCCCGTCCAACCGCTACCACCGCATTGGCCGTACGGCGTTTGCTGGGCGGAGGCTGTCCGGGCCAATGCCAACAGCACGGCGAAGCTGATGTCTGATCTCATCGCCAAAGATGAAGATGTTGGGTTGTCTCGCTCACAGAATGATGAGAACATGACACCTCAGCGTCGTCTCGAGGGAGCCTGGCTGGTTATACATGGAACGCCGTAGCACTTGCCTACCGTTCGTACTCAAACATACAACAAAATCATTTCTCATCACCGGTCGGAAGTTGACTTACAAGGCCAAGCCTACTGCCAAAACACGCAGCACTGCGCTTGGTGGAAAATTGCACGAAATCATGGGCGCGAATCTAGGTAACGAATGGAATGAGCCGAGAAGCTGCAATGGCGGCGGCGAAGAGAGCGGAGGGTGCTCCGAAACGAGACGATGAAGGTACAGGAGATGCAGAAGTGATCCGTATTCAGCATGTAGGCGAAAGCCATTCTCTTTTGAGGGCGGAGTGTCGCTCTCAGAGTGCCCGAAGAGGAAACATCACGACACCAAGGAGGGTCGTATCACGTAGACTACCGCTGGCCGAAAGAGGCAACTTTACTTGCTTGCCTCCGTTCTCCGAGTTACCCCTCAATCAGAGGCCAGGGGCAGGGCTACGCAGATGGCAGTCGCCGGTTGGAGTCAATTTACGCTTGTTTCGAAGCGAGCGGGCATTGAGATGCTTAATTGGTTTGACGTGTTCAACCCTTGACCGTTGTCGCCTACTTACTTGATTCGCGATATGGGGACGGAGAGATTGAAGGGGCCCCGGATCTGGAAAGCTTGTTTTCCTTTCTTCGGATCATCATGCTATTCGCTACTACGTATCTCCAAAAGGCAATTATTCGCCTAGGAGGGGAGATGGATATCTGCGAGCTGCTCGGTTCCTTCCGAGTCATGGGGGCAGTTCGTCAACATCAGACGAATACACTTCGCAGCTCATATTTTGGACGGCTCCCGGCACGCTGATCGACCCGATTTGCCGGCCCCGCACTGAAAGCGCCGAGCCGTTGTGATCTGAGCACACAGCGGGCAGCTTTTCTCATACCCTTTCTTCGGCCCTCATGAGCTGGCGTGATGAATTCTTTGGGGTCTGCCAACCTCTAGCCATCATGTTGACCCACGTCATTGGGTAGAATCTGACGGCGCCTCGCGGGCTCGGCGTAATGCTCTCCCAGTAATCCTAAAAGTTAGGTGTCCCGATATCGCTGGCTATCCTAAGGTCCGTGTATCATAATAGGTGATTGTTGAGTAGAGTTCCGGGCCGCCTCTATGGCCCAATCAATGAAACGCATAGGCATCGCTATATCCTTCGCTTCAGGGACTTCGTCTGGTAGCTTTTTCATAACGTGATGCCGGCGCCAGGTTGGTCTGCACGCGGACGCCAAACCAGACCAGATTACAGTATGCACTTCTGTCTCGTGAAGATATTTTCAACACGCGGCAGTGTATGCCCTCTTGAATCGAATCATTCATCGCTTCGGCGGCCCCGGCGGGGGCGGATTTGTCGTCCCTCGGAACTGATTCTTCAGCTCCTCGATGAAGTATTGCAAAAAGCCTCGGTCTTCAGGATTCGCTATAACCCAGCACGTCAGCTACCCTCTCTCTAAACGTCTCCCTCCCAGCAGGAGCCAAAAAGTTCGAACGTACCAGTTGCCTGTCCTTGCCGTAGCGGCTCATGCGGCATAGGCCCATTCCGCTTCTCGTCGACATACCGGTGGATTCGGCCGACGCCGCGATGGAAGCCGGGACTTCTAAGGATCTGCAGATTGGATCTCGAGGTTAGCTTGCTGCGTACGGCGGGGAGGATGGAGGGAGTCGCATGCCTGGCGGATAATCACGTCCTCGAAGGCCACAAGGGCGCGGATTAGCAAGTTCAGAGGCGGAGCCATGTTAATACGATATTCAATGCAGGTGTATCATGGAAGAAATGGCTGGGGGGTGGCCCTTGTGCGACGGGATGCCGATTGATAATCCTCGAGAAGCTTTGAAGCTTTCGCCGTGGTCAGCAAAGGGTGGCGACCGGACCATCGGGGAAATAAAGTGGAGATATTGTGGGATTAGTCATCGACATGGAAGCATCATGCATTTGGCCGCTCATTGGTCGAGGGGCGCCTGCGTATTCCTGACAGAGTACGTATCTTCATGGGAATATTCACACCATTTTCGCAAACCTCCCGCCGCGAGCATTCTCAGGCAGCAGAATTGCGAGGAAATGCATGAGCAGCGTCTGAAGTGTCCATGACCTAGTGGTGGAATGGTAAAGCGTAATGGGTCCCGAAAGGATTGCGAGTTCGAGTTACAAAAATTGGTGGTCCTACATAATGCCACAGACAGCTCATTTTTGTTTCTTTCAAATCACTATCCAGGTCTCTTGCCGTTATTTATTATGGCGTAAAGGAGAATTCATTCAAGTGAGCCTCAAAATGCGAATCAGTTGGCGGATGTGGCTTCTATGATCTTACCATACTTAATATACATGGGCGGATATCGTATGATATTGAATTCTACGCAACAACTTTGATATTCTATCTTATCATTCGCATTGTCCTTGGTATATGAGACTGTTCCCACATTCGAGGGACTTAGGTTCTTGACGATTGCACAGACTTTGTGTCTTGGATATATGTAAACCAAATCTGGGATGCTTCCTGGGCAACTCGAGTCTCATCGGCGGTATTAGTGCGCCAACCTCTCGAGGAGGACATCAGTAGCCATGCATATCCTGCGAAACCCCTAGAACTTTGGTTTGTTGTGATATAGCTCCGCAGCGTTCAAGTTGGTATGGTGAGCTTGTGATGCGGTCGACGGACGCGGGAGTTAATGGGTATAAGATGTCATTGGGCTAGGTAATCCCCCCACCATGCCGTGACTGATAATCTGGCGACAGCCTTGATATCTCAGCCAAACATTGTGTCATAAATGCATCTGAGGCGCGGGGAAGCCTGATACTCGATCTCACAGAACGACTCATTCGAATCGGTAGGTGGAGAGGAATCTTCAACCAGCAAATTGATCCCACTCACCCCAGTTCAGGGGCAGCCCTATATCGAGGTTAGCCTCCAAAGCGTTATCGACTGCCGATAAGTTGAAGCTCGGGTCGAAATGGCCAAAGACATCGAGATGCGGCATCGCATCGACGATCGAAAAGTCAATGGCCTCCAGTGCCGGGAGCTCGGCGGTCGACGCAGGAGCCAGGGGAGCCGACGGCGGCTCGGCCGGTGCCCCGTCAACCACCAAAGGCTCGTCGACTTTACCATTCACAGGTACGTCAACGATAGCGGTAGCTGGCAAAGCCGCACCCCCTTCTTGAGCAATGGAGTTTGCGGCTCGCTCCATTTCTCGCAGGATACGCTCGCCCAGTCCTGCAACGACCCGTGCGCTCCAAAAGACGTCACCGAACCTCTTCATCAGCTCAGAGTTGGACTTGAATGCGCTGCGGGCGCGGGCGCGGAACATCGGAAGGGCGCTGTGTCGCATTTTGCGGTACTCGACGCTGAGGGCCAGGGAGAGGGCGTATGGGACGAGAGGGACGGGGCTTAGATGGTCGCGGCGGATGGCGGAGGATATACGCTCAGCTGCAAGGGAGCGTCTTGCGTTTGCTGAGGGCGGCGGTACTGATGATGCGTACTGTGCTGGGGGTCCTGGTCTGGATAAGCGGCATGAGAGGATGATTACGGCGTGGTAGAAGACCTCGATTGTCGCTGTTGAGCGTTAGCATCTCATGCACCTGATGGATGAAAGAAGAGTTGCTTAGACATACCAAGCAGGGGCGTTGGGACCTGCAAAGCATTGGCCTCGAGGATCATGGGCTCCAGAACTGGTAAATCGATAAAGGGCTTTGCTTCCAGCGACTGAGCAATGACACCTGGACGGTAGAGCTCAATCACCTTGTCCAGCCACTGTACGACTGATAGGAAGAGTTGGAAGCACGGCGCTTGTCTGCGGAAACAGTCATCTAGCCCAGGACCGATGTCACCCTCGTGCAGGACGCAAGGTCTCCCGTACGTCGCCGCATTGATCCGATCCAGGGCCCAGACAGCGCAGAAAAGGGTATCAAGAGAATCATTGCTAGAGTGGAAGAGGTGCAACCCGAGGGTCTGCGAATGATGCGCCGCCCTAGCACCAAGCTGAGCAGGCAAGTCTGCCTCATCAGCACCTGAAGGCTGGGCGTAGAGGGATAGCATGCACAAAGCACGTATGTGTATCGTCCGGTCTGAGATCAAGCTCGTATCCAGGATGGCCCGTATAGAACTAGACAACGTCTGGGAAAAGTCTTGGTACGAGAGCCTCTTGTTCCCCTGCGTAGCGAGGCGCAGATGGCTTTTCATGTCAGGGTCAGTGGCAGCGGCGAGGCATACCACTTGTCGCATGACAATAGCTGCTGGGGAATCGCCATCATCCAAAGCCTCGTCAGGGATAAGGCCGAAAATAGGATGGATTTTGTCTCGGTACACCTTGTGGAGATGTTTGTAGTCCTTCTCCGGCGGGACACAGGTGAGACAATTCAGCTTGACATAAGGCAGCAAGACCTTGTCGATAATAGCCGACGGACGCGAGACAACGGAGGTGGTCGACTGTGCCGAAGCGGCATTGAGTGACGGAAGCCAGACACCCACCTCGGCCTTCTGCGTAGGGTTAGCGGCCGGGTCTGAGTCGGCGGCCTCGGCGAACATGCCCTCCGGGTTAAGATCGCCAACGAATCGCGTCTGTGGAGTCTGCGCTGGCTCCGAATGGCCCGCCGTGGCAGATTCACGGCGAACAGGGGTCGTGGACAGCACGGCATCAGCGGTCACGGACGCCGAGTGACGATGTTTGCTTGGTGAACCAGTGCCGGCGATGACATGTTGTCTGGGAAGAAAGGGTTCAGTCAGCTAAAGGTGATCATCAAAGTTGCCTGATTAGGAAACCAACCCAGCGTTGTCCGGCGGCGAAGAACCCGCACACCCGTCATGGGCGGGCTCCAACGGCGGAGGTTCCCCGTGGATGCAGCGTTTCTATAATTGTCATGTAAGAAGAAATGCGTCTTAGTCGAGTGGGATCGTTTTTGGTTTGGGCGGACCTTCTTTCTGCGACATGATTCGCAGGCCTGCAGAACCTGCTTCCGCTTCAAGGGAAGCCCCGAAGAGTCGGAGCCGACAAATTTGACGCCTTTGGCGGGGTTGCTCATCGTCCCGACGCAATGGTGACTCCGAACGGAACAAGAGATGCAGAGGTGTTAAGCGAGCGAAGCATCATCACCGCAGATCGCCGTCACGAGGGGGGAAATCAAAAGTGAGTTGTAACGCGTGAGATGAGAGACGGTGAAGGACGGGTGCTTTGGTGTAAGGCGGCGCAAGCGGTCGACGCAGCTAAACTGACTGGACTCCATGGTGTGGGCGGGCGGTGCGGGTGGCCGGGGAGTGACCTGCAAGGTGTGACTCGACGCGGAGCTTAGTCAGACGCGGGATTTCTCGGTGTAATCTCGGTGGAACCATCACACCTTGGCGTCACCGAGGTGAACAGTCACAATTCAACAAATGCATGACAGGACGTCTATGCTGGGGTAAGTCACTTTGTCAAGTCGTGAGGTTTTGAACCGTGAACTTGATGAAGACCATTCTTGTTTTTTCCGGTCTCACTCGAAATTCCAGGTATAATCTGAGGGCAGTGCCCGAACGCCAACGCTATGCTGAAATCAATCACTTATCCCCGCCATGGGATGAACACCCATCAATATCCTTAGAAGGTAGAAGAGCAATCACTCGGCTCGGCCGTCCAGGCCGCTCTTAACACCTTCCAGCACCACTCCCCAGCCACCTCCATGGTTCTTGTCCTGTACAGCCTCGCTTAACCGGCCTGTCACCAGCTTTCTCACGAGGAGCGTGTCTCGCGCTCTCTTGAGCTTCTTTCCGTCTTCACGAGAGAGGAAGTCTTCGAACCAGGCCTCCTCCGCGGCATCGAAGGGCAATCCAATGAGCTCGGTAGACCGTGCGGCTGTCTCTTCGTTCGCAGGAGCGCCAATCACGTTGGAGATAAGCTGGCGGAACAGCTGTGCCCTGACAGCATCGGCGTGGGTTCTGGAGAAGTAGAGAGCTTCGGTGACGCTAGTTCGTGACGTGGCGTCGAAGAGAAGCTCGAGAGCCTCGGATGTCTTGAGAATTGGCTGGACGGTGTGGAAGTATGAGAGAGGCAGGGTGTAGTCGCCGTCGGGGGCATTGCGCACAAGCGCTGTCATAATCTCGTCGGCGAAATCGGTAGTTAGGGAAGGGTGCGCAATGTACTCGAGTGCGTTCTGTTGGCAGTCCGATTAGTTAGTGAGTGAATAGCAACATCAGTTAGGTCCAGAGGCGCGTACCTCGAATTGTTGATGATCCAGAAGCCAGAGACCCTTCATGAAGATCTGATAGTTCTTGGGAACACCGGACGTGACGGCGAACTTTGATGATGCTTGGGATCTAGTCTGGCTGGTGTCAAAGTCGAGGAGGATGTAGTAGAAGATGGAGAGTCGGTGGTGGGTTGACATGGTGGCTTCGCATAATTGCTGGTGTAGTGTGCGCAGAGCGTTCTCGGTTTTGGGAGGATATGTCTTGGCTGATTTCCAATGTCAGTCATAGAAGATCTCGAAGCGAATGGGAGGAAGCATACACTTGGTGAGACCCAAGGCTTTCAGAACCCGGTCGATGAAGAGGGCGCCATCGAGGCTCTTGCGGTAGGTGTCGATTTCCTGAATGGACTTGCGATCGTAAGGGAACTGCTCCGCCCCAAAGACGTGATCAAAGTTGGTGTAGTCGAACATCATGAGGTGTGGTGGGTCAGCAATGCCTCTGTAGGATACCGGAGACGACAAGCTTGCTGTCAATTGAGGCGGATTGTTTTGGTCTTTTTTTGAGTTGGCGGGATGAAATGCGACGGCTTTGCGCCGGGCGAAGATTGATGCAGAGCTTCAGCCACACTTCAGAAAACAGAGAGCACCAGCCACAGTCGCGACTTGACGTGTCTCCGCAGCCTTGTGGCGGGTGGGGGCGGGCGGTGTGGGCTGTTTGTTTACAATCGGCCTAATCGGTGAGCGATTCAAACAAATCAAAGTGGGGGAAAGTGTGGGAGCAAACAACACAATTGCGTTTTCCCTTTTCCCTTTTCGCATCCGACATCACCAAATTCTATTACCGCGGCACCACTTTGCGCCTGCTGCGTTTTCTTTTTCATTCTTGCTTGGCTTCTTGTCACCTTGATTGAGATACCCCACGCACTTTTGTCTTTGCGTTCATTCGCTTCACACACACTAACCTACAACCTTACCACAAGCATAATGTCGGCCCGCCCGCGCCGTGCGACGCGCCGCCAGGCCATCGTCGACTCATCCGACGACGATGAGATCGCCAATACCACCGTGAAGAGAGAGGAAGAGAGTGAGGAAGAGTTCGCCCCCGAGCCATCAAAAAGCCCAGTGCGCCGACCAACACGCGCCCGCAAGAGCGCTGCCCCCTCATCTACGCCTGCTCCGACAGCACCTCGCCGCCGCGGCAGACCTAAGAAGAATGCCGATACTACCGCGATCGAGGAGCCCACGAAGCTTGAGGAGGACGCTTCGGTCGCAGATGTAACGTCCATCGCAGAGGCGCCTTCAGCAGTGGAGGAACCGTCTGTGGCGGACGAGACATCCATTGCTGAAGACCCCTCGGCGCATGACATCGCTCCCTCAATAGAGCCCAGCGAAATCTTCGACCCCGACCAGACTATTAGCAAGAAGGAGCCGCCATCCTCAGCCCGAAAGCCGTCTCCCAGAAAGCCCAGGATGAGCGCTGCGCCTAGAGCTTCCACCAAGTCTGCGACACCAGCATCCATACGCAAGCCATCCGCTACTCCCGAGCCCTCGCGGGTCCATGCAGAGCCTCTCGCCGATATCACAGCTTCTTCAGTCAACGAGCAGAGACCTGTTGCAGATGAGACCCAGGCCACATTCAAGCCTGTCCGCGCGATGGACACCGTCATGGAGAAGCCGATGGACATTGTCTTGAAGTCGCGCACTCTGACTGTGCCAGTGGTCGAGGACACAACTCCCAAGCCTCGCCTGGTTATCTCCTACCTGATTCTTACCAACTTCAAGAGTTATGCTGGTCGGCAGGAAGTCGGTCCTTTCCACGGATCATTCTCCTCCGTTGTTGGCCCCAACGGTTCTGGAAAGTCCAACGTTATTGACTCCCTCCTGTTCGTCTTTGGCTTCCGTGCAAGCAAGATGCGTCAGGGCAAGCTTTCTGCCTTGATTCACAACTCAGCCCAGCACCCGAATTTGGATCATTGCGAGGTCTCTGTGCACTTCAGAGAAGTCATGGATCAGGTTAGTCTCGTCAAACGATGCGTGCAAACAGTTGCTAACTATACATAGCCCGGCGGTGGACATGAAGTCATTCCCGATTCCGATCTCATCATCTCCCGCAAAGCCTTCAAGAACAACTCCAGCACATACTACATCAACGGCAAAGCCTCCAACTTCACCACTGTTACGACCCTTCTCCGCGACCGTGGCATCGATCTTGACCACAAGCGTTTCCTTATCCTTCAGGGTGAGGTCGAATCCATCGCCCAGATGAAGCCGAAGGCTGCCAACGAACATGACGACGGTCTTCTCGAATACCTGGAGGATATCATCGGCACTTCGAAGTACAAGACGCCTATCGAGGAATCCGCCACCGAGGTCGAGACCCTCAACGAAATCTGCATGGAGAAGAGTGGCCGTGTTCAACACGTTGAGAAGGAGAAGAACGGCCTCGAAGACAAGAAGAACAAGGCTATTGCATACATCCGCGACGAGAACGAGCTCACAACAAAGAAGTCTGCGCTGTACCAACTCTACATTGGCGAGTGCAACGACAACGTTGCTGTTACTGAGGAAGCAATTAGTCAAATGCAGGCGCAGCTCGACGATGAGTTGGAGAAGCATCATGGTGGCGAAAAGGTCATCAAGGAGCTCCAAAAGTCATACTCTCGTGGAAGTAAGGAGTTTGAGGCACAAGCGAAAGAAACCGAGGCTCTTGTTAAGGAGATGGCCAAGTTTGAGCAAGAGCGCGTCAAGTTTGACGAGAAGAAGAAGTTCCTCAACGACAAGCAGAAGAAGCTGGACAAGACCATCGCCAACGCCGAAAAGTCCGCTACCGAAGCAGACGAGACCATCGCCCAATGCGCGGAGGAGATCGAGACCCGCGCCCAAGAAATCGCATCGCTCGAAATCAGAGTGCAAGAAGAGGAGGCGGAGCTTGCGACTATTCGTGAGGGCCTCAAGGGCAAGACTCAAAAGTTCTCCGACCAGATTGCTGTCAAGCAAAAGTCACTGGAGCCCTGGAAGGAGAAGATTAACCAGAAGCAATCAGCCATCGCTGTTGCAGAGAGCGAGATGAACATCCTCGAGGAGAAGGCCAACGCTGGTGCTGTGGCCATTTCTGAAACGGAAGCAAAGATTGCTGCTATTGAGGACGCTCGCGCTGCCAAGACTGAGGAGCTCAAGGAGTGCCAGGCCGAGAAGGCGAAGCTGGAGGAAGAGAGAAAGGAGGCTGAGCACGAGTTGACGCGATTCAATGCCCACGAACCCAAGATTCGCGCAAAGGTGTCTAACGCCAGACAGAAGGCGGACGAGGCTCGCTCAAGTTTGTCTAAGACGCAGACTCAGGGCAACGTTCTCACCGCTCTGATGCGTATGCGCGAGTCCGGTCGTATCGACGGGTTCCACGGAAGACTCGGCAACCTCGGCGCAATTGACCAAAAGTACGATGTGGCCATTTCTACGGCCTGCGGTGCCCTCGACAACTTCGTCACCGACACCGTCGAAGCTGGCCAGCAATGCATTGAGTACCTTCGCAAGACCAACTTGGGTCGTGGTAACTTCATGTGTTTGGACAAGCTGAGAGTTCGAGACATGAACGCCATCCAAACCCCCGAAAATGCGCCTCGCCTCTTTGACCTGGTCAACCCCAAGGAGGAGAGGTTCCGCCCAGCATTCTACCACGCCCTTCAAGATACTCTCGTGGCCAACGACCTGGCCCAGGCCAATAGAATCGCTTACGGCGCCAGGAGATGGCGCGTGGTTACCTTGGCCGGCGAACTGATTGACAAGTCTGGTACCATGTCTGGTGGTGGTACAACTGTCAAGCGAGGTCTGATGTCTTCCAAGCTCGTTGCCGAGACTTCCAAGGAACAGGTCTCGAAGCTGGAGGAAGATCGCGATGTTCTCGAGGAGAAGTTTCAAGACTTCCAGGAGCAGCAGCGCGAGCTTGAGACAAGAGTCCGTGAACTCAACGATCAGATCCCTATGCTCGACACCAAGATGCAGAAGATCACTCTTGAGATCGACAGTGCGGCTAGGAACTTGGCCGATGCCCATCGTCGTATCAAGGAGTTGAGCAAGGAGCACCAACCCTCCGCCTCGGATAACAACCGCATTGCGGCTCTTCGCAAGGAGATTGCTAAGCTCAACAAGGAGGTTGAGAAGCTCCACGACGAGACGTCTGGAGTTGAGGAAGAGATCAAGGCTTTGCAAGACAAGATCATGCAGGTTGGTGGTGAGAAGCTTCGCCTGCAAAAAGCCAACGTCGACTCTTTGAAGGAGGAGATTGTCTCTCAAAACGAGGAGACATCCAACGCGGAAGTTCGCAAGGTCAAGGCCGAGAAGCAAAAGACGAAGCTTGAGAGAGACCACGCCAAGGCCACCAAGGACATTGAAGTGGCTATTCGCGACCTTGAGAAGCTCGAGCATGAGATCGAAAACCAAGGCGAGAAGGCCGAGTCTCTTCGAGGCCAAGTCGACGAGGCCGAGGAGGGTTTGGCAGCTAAGAAACAAGAGCTGACATCCCTCAAGGCCGAGCTCGATGAGAAGACCGCCGAGTTGAACGCTACTCGGGCCAGCGAGATCGAGATGCGCAACAAGCTTGAGGAGAACCAAAAGGTCCTGACTGAGAACCAGAAGAGGCTCATGTACTGGAATGACAAGCTGTCCAAGCTGGTGCTCCAGAACGTGGACGACCTGACAGGAACCTCCAACCCTGTTCCCAAGACCACCCCTGCACCGGCAGCTGCCGAGGGAGAGGATGATGCAGAAGCCGATGGTGACAAGACAGTGACCGAGGACGCCGTTACTGGCGACGACTCCCAGCCATCCGCCGAAGCCGAGGATGAGGACGAGGAGGCAGAGTCTGACGAGTCTCAGCTGCCATCTCAGCCAAGCAGTCAAGCACTCGAGCTGCCCGTCTACACTCCTGATGAGCTTGCGGACATGAGCAAGGAGAAACTCAAGGGAGAAATCGCCGCTCTCGAGGAGAAGACACAAAACGTGAACGTCGATCTTGGTGTCCTCGCCGAATATCGCCGCCGTGTTGAGGAGCACGCCGCTCGCTCATCCGACCTTCAGACCGCCGTCGACCAACGCGATGCCGCCAAGAAGCGCTGCGACGAACTCCGTCGCCTGCGTCTGGAGGGCTTCATGGAGGGATTCAGCACCATCTCTCTCCGCCTCAAGGAGATGTACCAAATGATTACGATGGGTGGTAACGCCGAGCTTGAGTTGGTTGACTCCCTGGACCCCTTCAGCGAAGGTATTCTCTTCAGTGTCATGCCCCCGAAGAAGTCATGGAAGAACATCAGCAACTTGTCTGGTGGTGAAAAGACGCTCAGCAGTTTGGCGCTTGTCTTTGCTCTGCACCACTACAAGCCGACGCCTCTGTACGTCATGGACGAGATTGATGCCGCCTTGGATTTCAGAAACGTAAGTTCATACCCTCGCTATTGGTTCCTGTCGCGACTCAACCTTGCTAACATTGTCATTTCCAGGTCTCAATTGTTGCCAACTACATCAAGGAGCGTACGAAGAACGCCCAGTTCATTGTCATTTCGCTCCGAAACAACATGTTCGAGCTGGCTGCCCGTCTCGTTGGTGTCTACAAGGTGAACCACATGACGAAGAGCGTGACGATCGAGAACCAAGACTACATCGTGCGGACGCGCGTGCAGGGCCAGGGTCAAGCCCAGGTCCAGCAAGCAACGCAACAGACGACGATGGCGCGATGATGGCATATGGGAAGTGAGAGAAGGGGAGAGTCTTACGAATGATGGGTTCATTGCTATTTTGCGCGCGTTTTGACTTGATCATGCCTGTTAATATTGTTGGCCCCTTGGGGTGGCCATGGGTCGGTTCTTTGTGTGTCATCGGTATAATGACTGTACGAGGGGAGGCGCATCATGGATGTAATGATTGAAAAGAAAATTGGAGGCTTTTTTGGCTTTGTTCTACGCATCCTGTCTGACTTGAGCGAGTTCTCATCTTTCTCGCCGGCTTGTGATTGCTGTGAGTGAACCCCGCTACCTCTAGTTTGTGTCGCCTTTCGCTTCTTGGGTTGGTCTTGTTGAACCTCAAGTGCGTGATCTTGTCCCCCTCATGTACCCTTCTCTGTCTCATTCTGGGAGATGACACAAGGTTTTGGTCGAATTTCCGCTTGATAGAGAGATGTGAATCAGCAATATTCGCTTGGCGAACGGCACTCATGCCGAGAGTGTTTCTTGAACTCTCACGAGATGGGACTGTGGGCTTCATGGTGAGGATGGCTGAAACGACAGTTGTCTATCAGTCCGATCCAATGAGCGCTTTAATTGGACCTCGTGCGCACGAATCGAAGTCTATCGAAGACACAAACGTGGTAGAATACCGTGTCTGAATACGAGCCGTAGTGCAGCTCGGCGCTGTCAGTTTGGTACCTGCATGATCTTGACGGCGTACCACGTTGGTCTCGGACGCGCATACAGCTGAGCAGCACGAAGTGACTGGTGTACCGCGGAGGAGCTGGGCCCGGTGTCGGACGGTACCTAGTCAGTGGTACTGTAATGCTTTGGTGGCCGATATCTGGAAGCGATGGCATCACAGCCATATTGCTTCGTGGTCATGCGATTGCTGTGTCCTCATCTCTCACCGAGGCCCTGGACCGGGGCCCAGGGGATGAGTAGTCCAATGCTAGCGTTTGTCTCGGCATTGTGGTCTACTCTCGGAATAGCGGCATAGGAGCATCAACTTGCGATACGTGAAGGTATCGTGAGCTGAGCTCATTACATCCTGTATAAAGGTCTCGGGAGAGTTGAGGCACTGAAGCCTAAGGGCGACGAGAAAACCTCAACGGGATCAGAGGCCGGCGAAGCTCGACAGCCTCCGCCCTCGACACTCGCTCAATTACTCTCTCTTTTCGTTTCCAATTTGACCGCTCTTGCCTCCCTTTCTGCTTCTTCGGCTTGAAGCCCAAGATCATTCGTTATCATGTTTGCATCATCTCTCATTCTTCTCGCAGGGAGCGCAGCATTGGTTGTGGCAGATGGGTGCCACGGCGATAACCTCCTCCGTGCCATGGAGCGGCATAACGGAACGATGTACTGCTCCATGCTCCTGGACTCTGGTGACGCCACTGCCACGCTCAGTCTACCGGATCCTATTCCGACGAGTTATCCTGCCCTCTCCGTGACATCGGCAGTAAGTTGCTATCAACCCAAATGAGAAATCAGTAGTTGTGAAGGATGAAGTACTAATAAAGCTCCAGTGTTCCTGTCTTCTAGCTCTTGAAGAGACGCCTCGGGCGCCTTGCCATGCAAATGCGACGGCAACGCCGGTAGCCGATTCCTCTGCTGGGATCGATGACCCTGGAGCAACTGACGCCGCTTCAGCCACGGTCGTTTCGAAGACCCAAAGCATCCCAACCGCGCATGCAACTTTCGACGGAGGCTACTCGTATTCCTTCCCCGGCCCAGCCATTCCATCCGAGACAGCTCCAACATGCGGCTGGGGCGAGGTGACCGCTACAGTCCAAGTCACGGAGACGCAAGTCAGCACAATCTATATCTACAACTCAGGAATTCCAAACACAAGCAGCGCGCAGAGTCTATCGTCCGTCAGCGATGGCGACAGCGGTGGCCGGCCTGCCCCGCTTCCTACGACGAAGACTATTACTGGTGAAGCTAGCGGGAGTGCGCCGGGGATCGTGTCGACGGTGACGTTGATCGGAGACTCTACCGTTGGTTTGCCCACGGGACCTGGGACGACGGTTGAATCGACGGCAGCAGTGCCAAGAGTGACTACGATTATCAACGGGAACTACACGACAGTCAAGACTATTTCTGGAGGCGAGTCTGAGCCGAGTCCCACAAGGTCTATGGTGAGAATCACTTCGGTCATTAATGGGGTTACGACGACCATCACTGGAGCTCCTGAATCGTCTTCGATCAGCAGCCTCACCAACACGTTGCCTGATGGAGCCTCTTCTTGGAGTCTATCTTGGTTGTCTTCCAGCATGGTTGGTGTCTCTAGCCAACAACCGACAGTAGCAACGCCGATATTGCCACCCGCAGTCACCACAATTACAAGTGCCATTGGCGGCATGGCCTCAACCTGGGTCGTCACTCTCGGCAGAAGCACCAGCGGCGGTCCTTTCGCCAACAGCAGCACACTGACTCAACCTCCGACTCCATCAGAAACTACTTCGGGTGCTTTTAGTGTTTTTACTAGCATCATCAATGGGGAGGCCTCGACTTGGACCGTGATAGGTGGCTCAACTCTTGTCGGTTCTCCCAACTCGACCTCGACCACGTCCACGCCAAGCCTCTCTCAGACTGCTGAGGTTAGCATCATTACGAGCGTCATTGGAGGGGTTGCTTCTACCTGGACGGTGATTGGAGGCTCAACTGTTGGATCTCCGTCAAATAGGAGCGCAGTTCCAACGCCTACCCTGACTCCATCTGCCACAGAGACTGACGCATTTAGCGTCATCACAAGCGTGATTGGTGGTGTTGGCTCAACTTGGACTGTCATCGGGGGCTCAACGATAGTTGGCTCGCCGACCCCAAGTGCTATCGCGTCTGTCATCACCAGCATCATTGATGGCGTTGCTTCATCGTGGACTGTAATCGGAGGTTCTACCATCTCCGCAAACCCCAGTGGCACATCACCGACTCCCACGGTATCTGGGTATGCCACGGTGATCACGAGTGTGATAGGAGGGGTCGGGTCAACCTGGGTTGTTATTGGAGGCTCGACTATCGTGAACCCAACAAATGCCACCGGCACTACTCCTACACCATCCACAACTGGAGGCGCTGTCGTTATCACCAGCATCATCGGAGGTATCGCCTCTTCATGGACGGTCATTGGAGGCTCAACAGTCAGTTCAGTGCCAAGCGCAACGTCTGCTCCATCTGATCTGCCACCTGGTGCGAGCGTTGTTACCAGCGTCATTGGGGGAGTTGCTTCTTCATGGACGGTAATCGGTGGCTCTACCATCAGTCCAATTCCAAGCCCACCCTCTGCTTCGGGCGAACTACCACCCGGCGCAACTGTCATCACGAGCGTTATTGGGGGCATTGCCTCGTCTTGGACGGTGATCGGAGGCTCAACCATCTTCGGTTCATCCAACGGCACGACCAAGTCTCCTGTCGCGACCCCTACTCCAACAGTCTTTACTAGCGTTATTGATGGTGTAGCTTCTACCTGGACGGTCATTGGCGGTTCGACCATCTTTGGCACCCTGACGTCAGGCTCTCCGAGTCTAGTAACATCGACTGCCGTCAGCCTCACCGGTGGCGCCACGTTCGTGAGCACCCTCAATGGAACGATGCCGACAGCAGGAGGCTTGTCAACTGTCAGTGGTTCTTCATCTACGCCGGCGAGTACCTCAGCGACCTCAACCTCAAGCTACGACTCAGCTTTCACCGGTATCTCGGTGGTTGTGGCGCAGAATGCGACTTCGTGCTATGCCCTTCCTCCACCTACAGCATCGCTACACGAGTCTCTCTTGAATGTCACCAACCGTACTCCTCCATATATCGACGCATTTTACCTCAATGAGACTACGCACTTCGTCCACTACCTCCGTCTGGTAGATAATGCCACCAACCCAGTTCTCGTTGACGTCTCCGACCCATCGAGACTTGGAATCGTTGACAAAGCCGGCAACGTACTCTCCATCGACAGCGAAGGGTTACATTTTGCCTCAGCGAACTGCTCACCTAAAATAGACGTCTTCATCTCTGGTTTCTTCCAGCAACTCAACACCTTGACGAATTCCACTTGTACAAACACAACCGATATCCCAGTCAACGGCACAGATCCGCGCCGTCTTCCCGTTTTCAAAGGGACGTTGGCCGAGATGGCACAAGACGCATTTGACATCACTCTGCATCTCAAAGACCAATGCGGAAACCCTGCCCGTGCTGATCTACCGGTATCAGTCGCGTTAGGTGACACCCAATGCGTTGTCCTCCCTGGTGCTGCGGGAGACTTTGTCGCAAATTGCGCATTCCCCGGAAGCGGGAGCGATTCCATGGAGTGTGAGACGTCGGTTCAACAGACTCTGGATCATTTGACGCAGGGATCTCTGGTGGGGAGCTGTCCACCTCTCACTTCGGTTTGGAGTCTGCTCTTCCAGCACCTTGGCAGGGTCGTCAACGTTGACGAACTTCTCCAGCCCTTCATTGATGCTGGATTGCAACTTGGCTCTGATGCCGGCAAGGGAATACTGGCTGTCATCGATAGCTTTATGAACCTTTACGACTTCTCGGCCGCAACGTTCAAGAACTCGACTTCCGGCTCTGGATCGGGTCTAGGTGATATCGTTGAGGGATACGGTGTCACGACTATCAAAACGGAAGTCTGCCATTCCCTCATCTCAACCGAGACTTTGAACCTCACTTTCACGGCCGGAACCTCCATAGCACCTACCTCACTCGCAAACATCACAGCACTACCTTCAACAGGCTTAGAGTACAGGCGTAACGTCACAGACCCGACAGCACTTGCATGCTGCCCGAATGCAAACGCGTGCATCGTTCAAGATGGGGAACGATTTTACCCACCTGAAGCCTCCATTCCTGACTCTGACTGCCTCTGCGGTAAGACTCTAGAGGGCGGGGGTATTGGATTCCGGACGGGAAGATGCGTCGGGTATGATCAGTGTAACTCGACGTCTCCCTGTGCCGGAGGTGGTGTATGTCTGGTTGACAACTGTTGTGGCTTCAATGTCTGTGTGAATGGGACGGAGTGCTCTGCTCCAAAGGCCGGTGGGATGCGGGTGAACCTGTTCGGGACGGAGACCTCTGGAGGGCTTTTCTGATTGTTTAGTCATATTTAACACTTCATATCATCTCACTGATTTTGCAAATGACAAGTACAGCTGCTAAAACGCTTCAAGCGAGGACAGGACACAATCATCTTAACCGAGTCCATTCTAATTTGTGTTAGTTAGCTCATCTACTTCTTGTAAAGTCGTTGCACGCAAAAGCTCTTGTGGCTAATATTCAGCCGCTGCACCCATAACGATGTACCTTGGGACAAATATCCGTATGCACGTCGATTTAAGCTACCCTTTTGACACTGGACCGATACCCCGTTCGAGCGATCGGGTTAGTCCGCAGCTACATGGTCTGCATGCGGTAAGACTCATGTAGCCCATGCAGCTGACGAATCCACAACATCCTGGACTGGCAGCGTCATTCTCCTCACGTTGTTTCTAGCCAATAGAACAACAGCATTGGGTGCGGATTTCTAAGCTGACAGGAAACCTGCAGAAACGCGCTTTTGTCCGTTTGCCCGGCACGCGAGACCTGTCGCTTCACTACGCTAGGCCAGGGGTAGCATCCTTTCGTTTGCAACCACCACGAGATAAGATTGATGAGCAATCATTTAGAAGTCCGGCGATTGAGCTGTCGCGAGAAGCGAAAAGGCGAGCTTGAGCATGCATTTGATCTATTCCGAAAGTAAAACTTGGTTTTCGTGCGTGATGATTTGGAGATATAAGGATGACGATGTCTCCTGCTTCTCCATTTCCCTTGAAGAATCATCAACAACTCTAACATCATCTAATATCAAATTATACGCTACTACTAATACTGTAAATACCGACGATACATGCAAGTACCATACCAAGTCCGACAAGCAGAACCCACATATTATCTCTCCAACCATGTCTAGTGATTCGCAGCCAACTAGGGCGATCCTCGTTACTGGTGCAACCGGCAAACAAGGTGGCGCCGTGATTGATGCACTTCTAGAGTCAGAAACCGGGAGCACCTACAAAATCGTAGCCGTTACTCGCAATACTGCTTCTTCTAAAGCCAAAAGCTTAGCATCTCGTGGGGTCATTGTCATTCAGGGCGATCTCAACGACGTTCCCGCTATCTTTTCCGACGCCAAAGCAGCCTTGAGCTCCTCTACTACCGAGCTTTGGGGCGTGTTCAGTGTACAAGTGAGTTTCTCTAGCGATCTTTGCTAGTTATTCCGTGTTGCTAATGAACAAATAGACGGCCATTGGCAAAGGAGCATCGGCAGAGCTCGAAGAAGCCCAAGGCAAGGCGCTAGTCGATGCAGCTCTATCCAACAATGTCAAGTTCTTCACATATAGCTCCATCGACCGAGGCGGAGACGGCTCATACGACAACTATGTCCCTAGTGTAACTCACTTCGTCAGCAAATATCGCATCGAACATCACCTAGTTGAGAAAGCGCGCGGCAAGATGGATTGGACCATTCTTCGACCTGTTGCATTTATGGAAAACATGGAGCCGGGAATGGGCATCAAGATCATGGCTACATCGTGGCGCGTCGCGGTCAAGGACAAGCCTCTCCAGCTGGTTTCTGTCAAGGATGTAGGACGAGCCGCTGCGAAGGCATTCCTTCATCCACAAGAATTCGCCGGCAGGCAGATTCCTTTGGCTGGCGACGAGCTCACGCTAGAAGCTGCCAGTGCCATTTTTAAGTCTAGGAAGGGAACGGAGATCCCAGAGACGTTCCAGTTTCTGGTCAAATTCCTGCATTGGATGATCCCCGAGTTTGGTGCCATGTACAGGTGGTTCTACACTGATGGTTTTGGGGTCGACGTTGCAGCTGTGAAGCGAGAGAACTCTGGGATGCTGGACTTTGGTTCTTGGGTGGAAAAAGAATACGATCAGGATGGAAAGCGAGTCTAGTTTAGAGCTGGGGAGGGGTTCCCTCAAGTGAGATGGTCGAGCAAAGAATGAAAAAGGAGATTCTCTTTCATAAAGTAATAAGCATCATGATTGTTCTGGGTGGACATTCATCAGATTATATATCAGGATACGCATGGTTTGATTGATAGAGTGGATGAAAAGTAATGTTGAAGTAGCTTGGACCTTCTACCTTGGTGAAAGACCAAGGGTTTAAATGCTCTATTTGATAGAAAAGACTATCTATCATTCCAAACAAACAATTTTGAATCTAGTTGCCGTCCTCGAAATCCGAAGCATCCAAAGTTCTCTGCTCCAATACTCGGCCCACATGAGTCTTGTCAATTGACTCACAGTTTCTCCGTATCTTCATCAACACGACTTTGATGAACTGCACGAGGTACCCCCGATCGATTACTTGTGGTAGTTCAGTTTCATAATCGACCCTTGAGTCATCCGATTCCAACATGAGGAATCGCCGTAGGTCCCGGTACTGATCCAATGACTTGACATAAAGTTGACCCGAGAACAGGTTCAGCTCAGTGACAAGCCGAAGAGGGAGGTTCTGAGGAAGTCTTTGGTGCGGGATGGTGAAGAGATTCAGATCATCCAAAGAACGGAACCCGAGGTTAGGTCGCGGGGCGTAAAGATGAAGCGAAACAAAGCTGGAGTTCCGTATGTCTGGCAGAAGTTCTTGAGCCTCAAATGGGCTGATGATGATCGCAGTGTCGATACCACGAGCCCTCGTCAGAACCCACTGCACAGATCTCTGAAACAGATCCGAGACATAACCTGAACTTTTCCCCATTGGAATGATTGTTCGAGCAAAGTCTGCCGTTACCAAGAGTCCCTGTGGAAACTTATTCACATCGTAGTGTTGAGCGGCGCTGGTGTTTGACAGAGATTGAAAGGCAAAGATGAATGCCTCCGAGTGGCAATCGAGCGTACCACTAGTCACAAATGCGCGGAGGTCTGGGTGTACGTGATGTCTCGCAGGCGAAGCTGGAGGGGCCTTTTGCACTTCCCTCTCTTGCTCGACTTCTGGCGACAGCTCCCGCTCTTGTTCTTCTCGAAATGTCGCAGAAACTGCGTTGTGACGGCCAAACTGGAGCAGCCTTTCGGTAATTGCATCGCCAGTACCTTCATCGCACATTAAACCGGCTGGTAATTGATGACCTGGTCGATATCGCGTCTCGAGAGTCTGTGCCTCCTCTTCAAGGAATCCCTCTGCGTGGTCATCAGTCAGGTTTGTGGATCCGTCGACCATGCAGTCGTCCCACAGGACTCGATGTTGCTGGTACCGACGACCTTGGTTTGCCCACAACCAAATGCCTCGCTCCATATCCATGAGCGTCTCATGTATGGACCACTCTAGAACATGAGTCACTTCGATTGAGGACTCGTCAATTTTCGACTGAGAGGCAATCTTATGCTTGATTTCGTCGGACACACAAAAAATAACCGACTGGCCTTTCCCAAGCTTTCTCATTCGCATGCAGGCTTGGAAGGACTATTAGTGATAATCCTAACTCATGCAAATCAATTGAACTTACCTTGAACCAATCTGTCTTTGGTTAAGTTTGCCCCCAAAGTTACTGCTGCCCGATATCCTGCCGGAAGTTTCAAATCGGTCCCTCTCGTATGAGCCTCGTCAAGGAAGACAAGACAGACGTCTGTCTGAGTGGCGAACGGTGAAGTCTGCAAGCTTTCGACACGGCCCTTACGATCCACAGCACAGATGTTATCGTGATCATCGCAAAAGATAACAGCTTGTGTTGTCTCGTTGTCTTCCGTCATCTCGAGCCACTTCTTCGCAACCCCGAGATTATCTAGTTCCAAGATTTGAGCGCCGACATCGAGAATCACTCGAGCAGGGGGCTCCAATCCAACAACCATCTGCAACAGGGTTTCGGCGTCTGACTTAAATGTGTTCTTGTCTGATGCTGGAATCATTGCCACAGACTTCTCGTCCTGAAGTAGATACTCGAGGACTAAAGCATTCGTGTGCTTCTGATCCGGTAAGTCTAACTGCTTGACGCTCAACGGCAAGAAGGCTCTCGACTCGTTTGTCCCGCTGAAGCCAGTCGTCGCATTTGCTTTCTTCTCTCCTATATCCCATCCTGAGGCAGATAGCTTGTGCGGAAATTCCTTCATTTCCTTGGGAAATACCAGGTGATGAAGGAAATAGTCGACAACACTTTTGGAATGTCTTAGACATGGGAATACCTGTTCAGTGCACTGTGGACGATCTTCCAGATTAACGCCAGGTAATTGATGGAACGAGGGTGGTAGTTGATCGCTGTCCTCAACCCAGAAGCGGTATTCCATGTCGGCCATGTCCGAACGAACGAGATGCTCGAAACTCAAGAAGAGATCGGAGTCAGTCAAACCGCCATAGTAGTAACTCAGCGATGTTAGAATGATAACGACATCTGGATGACTGAATTCGGAACGGGCGCTCGGATTGTCTTTTGCTCGATACGGCACTGCAAGTTGTGTAGGTGGCCGCCTACTATGATCGAGGCCGAAATCGACCCTCCATCGCTTTTGACAGAAAACGAAACTGAGAATCTGTCCGGCAATGAGCCCTCGTAGGAGTAGAATGCTGTTTTGTGTAGCTGGCAACCAGATATTTGACCTTTCCACCCCATCGATTTCAGACTTTGTGAGGCTCGTCTTAGAGATGTAGGTGTAAACTGCTTGTTGAGTGGAGGCAGACTGAGTTCCCATCGGAAGTCCAGTCAATCCAGATTCGCTGAGATGACGAGCCAGATCATTGAGCAAGGTAGTTTTCGCGTCCTCGCGCAAGATTCGCGTTCGAGGAAAGCAGCCACGATTTCTCCCAGCAACCTCTAAGGAGCTATGGTATCTCTTGTGGATGCCAGGCAGTAACCTTCTCATGACTTCAAGGACCTGATGTATGCATACCCATCGCTCCGGGCTATGTTCAACAGGCCGCTGAGTGCCCATAGTGTACACCAGCTCGAACTTGACGCTGAAGTTTTCATCACTTTCGTCCACAATGTCGCAAGTAACTCTGTCGAGAAAGTCCTTGGAACTGACGAGCATTCGACTAACGCTCACATTCCCAGCAATGGCTGTCTCAATCGCCATAAGCTGGAACGAGAGAATATGTTCTGGTTGAACTAACAGAATCCCTCCAGAGTCCATGCACTCTTCAAAGATGTGTTGAATAGCCATCGCCTCTGAAGGTCCAACTTTGACGGCCCTAGAAAAGGGCATATGGAAAATGCGTCTTTGAAGTAGGCCCCCAAGCTTCGAGTCGAGCATTTCGAGCATCTGCTTTGACTGAGGCCGTGCCACAATAACCCGAACAAGTCGTGTTCCGTCCGCAAGAGCGGCTGCGACGATAGGCACAATGACCGACGACTTGCCTTCGCCCATGTTCAATTGCATGACAGCATTCTCATCGTCTGGCGGACATCTCATGCTTTCCGCGATCTCTTCCTGCACTTCCCTGACTATTAAGCCGCTCTCAATCTCTAGCAGCAGAGTGTCTGGGTACTTCAAAGGGGACCAGTTCGTATGGCCGGGATTGCGCAACTCATTCGCCAATGCAGCTGGGTCTTCTAAGCAACCCAGAATCCGCTTCGCTCGTTGAAACTGGGTGAGTGCGATGCCGAATTGCGTCAGTACCATCTTCCAAGGTTTTGGTGTTGAATCGCGACGTAGATGGCTTAGTCTGCGAAGAAGCGTGGAGGTTGAGAGTCTCGGATACTGGTAGAAGTCAGGCAATAAGGTGGGTAATCTTGAAAAGCCTGATTCTTCGCAGCTCACAAGGCGGCCCGCGATGAGTTCGTATGTCTCCTGAACAATTGCTTGCCAGCGATTCAGGTAGGAAACCACCAGTTTCGCTATCTCTTCTGGCGATGCGCAGTAATGATCTTCCGACAACTGACGACGCTCTAAGGCCTCCATGCTTGAAGCCAAGGCCTCGACATAACGTCTTTCGTACTGACCGAGCTTGCGGTGACGAAGCCGAAGCCGCGAAAGCAGCGCGGATAATCTAAATCCCCTCTTGGAACGCTTGCTAAATGAATCGTGATCCGAAGTCCAGACTTCATCGCTCAGTGAAGGCGGCGGAGAATTCATGAACAAAGAGTCTTCGGTCAGAAACCGTGGCTGGTCATGTATAGGCCAGTCTGTTGTTGCCAGCAGAGGCACCGCTATTTCCAGTGGATTGACTGCAGTTGGCAAGGAGCAAGCTATTTCTCGAAGGTATATCTGAAATTGAAGGTTGTCGTACCAGGTTTGGAAAAGGGCCCTGATACTTGCCATCGCACCACCAACGTCTATGTATTTTTTCCAATTCTCTGTCTTTGTGTAGCCGGCGGGTAGGTTCGGAACGCGACAAGACCATTGAGACTTTATCATGTCGAGAAAGGTGTCCAGAGCAATGTTCCTGTTGCTGAGGAATTCGCTCTCTCGCCTTTCCATGAATGATTGGTCGTCTTCGTAGGCCAGTCGCTGCATACACATTTCGGGACAGGAATTGAAGGGCTTGAAATTCTTCATAACCTCATTCATCACTGTTGAATCCATATAATTCTTGCCATTCGAGAGATCGAAGCAATCTGCTACTGGTGCGGAGAGTGCGTGGATAGTGCTGCTGGTCTTGAATGAAGCCAAGGTTTGGACAACCGCGAAGTCTGCATTCTCTGCAAAGGCCATCGTCGCCAGCCAGATCATCACCTTATACTTGTTGCTGCTCTTCAACTTGGACTGTAGCGCGATCCAATCTTCCGCGATGAACTGATAGGAATTCAAAAGAAATTCGGCATTGTATGTGATGTCGTCCACCGAAAAAGGTGAATACGGGCCATGTATTGTAGTTCCTTCAGAAAGGAAGCTCCAGAGATAGGTTTCCATGGAGCTTGGCACTGGCATTGACAAGATCGGCTGATCGAACAAGACGAGTTTGGACGCCGAATATGCTCGAAACCCTTGAGAGGAGTAGGACCGATCCCGCGCTTCGTAGACAACGTCGTGATCAATAGTATGACACTCAGCGCCAAACCCTGATACCCGAAACATTGCCGTTCGGATATTGTCCCGTGCTAGAAGTTGAGAACTCATGGGTTTCAACTCGGGTGACCCGACATCCTGCAGTGGTTGAAAGAACTTTGAGTGGTTGTTCTGCGTGAAGATGGCCTCGACATATTCCCGATATAGACCATGTTGGGATAAGGAGCCAAGTTGCGAATCCCAGTCAACTTGTTGCATGACACGTTCGTTGACTGGATAGTAACGTCTGCATGGAGTCAGACGAGCAATTTCAATCAATAGTTTGGCGTTCTCTGGTCTCAGCACATCGAAAGACCTGACTGAGGCAGAGCTGAGAATCGACAAAGCCTCTTCGGTACCCGTTCTGTGCGTAAGAGGATCCGGAATGACAAAAGATGTCAAGGAGTGTAGGTAACAAAGAAACAGCTTGCTCTGTCGACTGCCGTTGCTGGCGAGCCTGTTCAGTGTATCGTCCACGTCGTAGGCATGAACCCTTGGCGCAGAATCCTTGCTAACAGTGACTTCGACATGGCCATCCTTCTGCAAGCACGACATATTTCCCTCGAGCACTATGATCTTGCGCCCGACAGGGAGAGCGGGATGTGGGAGTTTGTCGACTTTGAGGACCAACTTGTCTTTAAGACCGATCAGAGTTCCGACTGCCTGATTTGGGTCCACCGACATGCCACGATATTGTCTCGACATTATGGAGGCCTCCCCTTGCTTGAGGCTGAACTCCAGCCTAGCGCGAGGTAGCTCTATAGAAACCATTGAAATCTTCAT